ACCTGAAGGGCATGTGTGAAGCGACCAGATTGAGAGAGGCGATGAACGAGATATTGGAGCTGAAATTGGGTGACTTCTTTGTTAGGAACAAGACAATAATGTGTCTCAAACTTTACATAGGGTTGCTTATATAACAAAATAGAGAACCTCATCTCACAATCCTAATCGATGTGGGACTAAATCAAGCACCATAATACTAACAATTCTCCCACTTGGAGTTTGATTTACGTTACCACCTAGTGTAGTGCCTTCATCATCAATTTGCTCGAAGGCTAGTTGAGGCAATGCAAAGCCTCAACTTAGTTGTTGTAACAGTCTTGGTCAACATATCAGTCGGATTCTCTGCACTGGAATCTTCAACAAACTCAAGTCTCCATCATTTATCGGGTTTCGATAAAATGATACTTCAATTCAATGTGCTTACATCTCGGAATGAAGGATTGGATTTTTAGCAAGACAAATAGCACTTTGATCTGTCACTAAACAACGGAGAACCATCTTGTTCTCTTCCTAATTCTTTTAGAAGGTTCTTCAACCATATCATCTCCTTCGCCGCTTCGAGATAGTTACATACTCGCTTCAGTGGTTGAGAGAGAGACCCTTCCTTGAAGTTTAGACTTCCAACCGATAGCTGTACCACCCAATGTAAAAATATAACCTGTTGTGCTCTTTCTACCGTCAAGATCACCTCCCAAGTCCGCATTAGAAAACCCCCGTAAAATGAGATTACTTCTCTTGAAAGACAAATGCATCTTTGAAGTGCCTTTCAAATATCCGAATATCCACTTCACTCCTTCCCAATGCTCCTTTCCGGGATTTGATAGAAATCTGCTCACAACTCCCACTCGCATGTGCTATGTCCGGTCCGGTGCAAACCATAGCATACATCAAGCTTCCTACTGCAGATGCATATGGCACTTTAGACATGTGACTTTCTTCTTCTTCTGTTTGAGAAGATTGCCTCTTTGAAAACTTTAAGTGAGTTCCCAAAGGTGTATTCCTGGTTTTAGCATTCCCAACATTGAATCTGCTAAGCAATTTTTCTATATATTTTTCTTGAGATAAGTTCAAAATACCTTTATCTCTATCTCGGGAGATTCTCATACCAAGAATTTGCTTGGCTGGACCAAGATCCTTCATTTCAAAGCTCTCTGACAATTGTTTCTTCAACTTGTCAATTTCTGCCATATTAGCTCCAACAATCAACATGTCGTCAACATATAAGGCAAGAATGATATAGCTATCAACATATTTCTTCACATAACAACAGTGATCTTCTTCACATCTGCGAAATCCTGAGTTTCTCATAAACTCATTAAACTTCTTGTACCATTGTCTCGGCGCTTGTTTTAATCCGTACAAACTTTTATGAAGCTTGCATACAAGATTTTCTCCGCCTTGTACTTCAAAACCTTTTGGCCTAGTGGTAAGCGCTCGATCCTAACAATTGGTATCAGAGCCAAGGTCACGAGTTCGATTCCTGGTGGGCAATTGTTAAGGGGGAGATTGTTGCGGGTTGCACAATTGTCCCGTGGCGCAGGCTAGGTGGGCCAAGTCACAATTGGTGGCGTAGGCTAGATGAGCCAAGTCACAATCCAAGTGGGATTCCTCGTAGGACAATTGCTGAGGGGGAGATTGTTGCAGGTAGCATCAATTGTCCTGTGGCGGAGGCCGGGTGGGCCGAGTCACAATCGAATCGTGGCGCTTGGGCTATTACTCTTAAGTAAAAAGAGTTGCGCTCTGACTAATAGCTATAGCTTTTGGCCTAGTGGTAAGCGCTCGATCCTAACATTCTTTGCCTTCTTCGACCCATCGGTTCAGAATAGGATTCACTGGACTGAAAGGGTCCCCAACCCTCAACACGCGATTTTCAAGACTTGCCACCATGCTTCCCATCGAGTACATGCACATTCCAAGAGACCCAGAAACAGAAACGCCACAAATTTTTACAAGTTTGCATCTTGATCGTAATAGCATCATTCTTTTTCTCGCTCACCGCTCTCAGCTTGAACTCTCGTAACCAGCACTCTCGAAACCCTCGTGGAAGATTTGAGGTTCGTTGTTGATTTGGCTTTATTCACGGTGATCCAGAACGACTCGCCCTGGAATGACACGGATAGACTTCTTATTGCGGCGGAAGTTGAAAGCATCTTGCCAGAAGACGACGTCGTTCGGGTGGTGCCACTAGAGCCAGGTCGTCTCCGCTCGGGAATTTATCTCAAATTCGAAACTAGGTTTTAAAATTGGGGATTTTACCCTATATTTGAATGTAGGGTTCATAAAATTTGAAGATCATTCTCCAACTAGGGTTATTAATTAGCCAGAATCTGAATTTTGTTAAAAGTAATTTTCAAAGACAAACATGAATTAAGTATGGGTTGCTCTGAACCAATTGTTAGGTAAACTGATAATTAAATATGATCTTCAATCTAACGATCAAACATAAAGTAATCTCATACTCATAAATATACTGTAAACTAAATGTGAAAGCGTACCTGAATTAGGCATAATGATGATGTCCCTTTTTGAGCACTATTGATCTTATGGTCTTCCACCTGAAGAGCACCTGTATTTCCCTTTTGATTTTCTCTCTTGATAGGGATAGAAAGAAAAGAACGGGATTGTAACTACGTTCTGTGTGTGTGCTCCCAGAAGGGGACCATGACCCCTTAAAATAACCAAAATTAGGTTAATTACTTAAGTTTTAATATTTTCAATTTGACCCCTCATCAAATTAGAAATTACTCTATGGTCTCTACACAATTTTATTTTCATGACATGTACCTTTAGCCAAAACTTTAATTTATTCATATCACTTTATTATTTGGCTTAATAAATAATAACCCTAACACATTTAAATTATGTATGATATATATTAATGACCCAAATTTTGTCAACAATATTTTCATTTTTATTTATTTAAATTTATTATTAAATTTAATTTTAAATTATTTCTATAGAAACATATTTGTTTTGAAAATATTTAAATTTGTGCAATAAAAAAAATCATTATTTTTTTCTCTTTATCTCTGAATGTATGACGTATTTTTAATTTAAAAGTTATAAATTAAAAAAAATAAAAAATAAAAAATAATTATTAAACCAGTCAAATATAATATTAAAAATATTTAAATATAATATTAAAAACTTAACATTAAGTAGTTCAACTATAAGTTATAATTGAAAAAATTTACGAAAATAATCTTTTAACATAATTATATTAAAATTTAAATTACACAAAATAATTTATATGAATAAATTATTATTATTATTATTATATATATATATATCAACATTTATATTTTTATTAATAATTTTTATATTAATATAAAATATAAATAATGACGTATCTAAGATCTTAAATTATTAGTAAGATAATCTATATTTTAAATAATATAAATTAATAATAATTAGCATGTAACTATATATTCTCAATTACACATAAATTTCAATACGTTCAAATATATAATAATAGAAAGATAAAATAATTTTTTTTAAATAATCAGGCAATCACGTAATTAATCAACTTACTAGTATTCAAACCAATTAAAAAATTGCAGGTGTGTTGTGCAACTTATATGATTCTTATATAAAATCATAAGACTTATTCTTATCAAATTCAACTTGATTTCAATGTAAAATCATTTTTGAGTTTTTGGTAGAATTGATTTTATTAAAAAACAAATATTAGATTATTTTTTAATATAATTTGTTTATAAAAATTATAATATATTTTATTCGTCAATTTTAAATAATAGGTATTTTATTTTATTTTTATCTTATTTTAATAATTATTTATTTTATTTTCTTTTATATATTTTATATTTATAATTTTTATTGTAATATGGTAGTAACTTTTTTTAAATCATTAGTATTAATAAATTTAGTATATTTTTAATATTATAAAAATATTATTTATTAAATTTGATTTAACCTTTAAATATTGATCTCATATTTTATCTCACCAATTCAATTTTAAAAATATTAATTATGATGTAAAAATACCGTAACAAAAATAGATTATTAGAGAGAAAATACCACTATATCTCTTTATTTTAAAATGATGGCTTGCTAAAATATGTTTGAATGATTTTGCTAAAACATTCTTTACGTGGCTTGTGTATTTGATAAATAAAATTCCTTTATTTCTCCTATCCCATAAATTACTATATGAAATCCTTCAATATATATATATATATATATATATATATATATATATATATATATATATATATATATATATATTTTTCTTATATTTAACTCTTTTATCTTAACCAAACTCATCCTTAAATTATGAAAATATGTAATTTAACTTGATATAATGGGTCTCCAAATAAATATGTAGACTTGTTTGTAATTTATAATTCATTTTGATAATATTTTAAAATTTTAAAGCTAATTATTATATTATTATGTCAACTTAAAATATTTTATTTTATAATAATTATGTAATAAATATTATGATATAAATGTATTATTAATAAAACCTATTTTAAGCTATTAAGCATAACCCACTGAAATTAAATATATTATATTGTCATTAAAAATTCTTTTTAATTTTGGTTTAATTTTATTTTTTTACTCTTATTTATCATAAATATTATCCCATACATAGTATAATTTCATTCTCTAGTATATACGAAAAGTCCAATTTATATAATAATGTAAACACTAACATACTAGTCTATTTATACAATAATATTATATGTTATATATATATATATATATATATATATATATATATATATATATTACGTATATAATTGCTAGTATTAATAATAAATTTTATTATAAAAACAATGTACTTTTAAATTTGAAATTAGGTTAAAAATTAGACTAAAAGAATCTAACAGATGGCTAGCTATGTCCGTTATAGATGGAACCCAAAGTACACCACACTTTATGGTTCACGTTTGGCCTTAGAAAATAACCCGAAACGACACATATATCCAACGAAATTCAGTGTTGAAGCAGAATAAGCTGAAGAAGAGAGTGGAAAAATGGGAGAAGATCCACAGAAGCTGAAGCGAATTGCGGCGGATTCATACGACTACGAGAACGACTCTCGATGGCCCGATTACTGGAGCAACGTTCTCATCCCTCCCCATATGACCTCTCGCAGCGACGTCCTTTCCCACTTCAAGCGCAAGTTCTACCAGCGCTACGTTGTGCGTTTTTTTAATTCTTCATTCTCTTCGAACCCCATGTATTTGATTCACTAATTTCCCATCGAGTTTCGATTTGTAACCCCTGTGGTCAATTTGGTGGTTTCCTTGCTTCCAATGGGGTTTTGGGGTTTCTGCAAAAAAAAAAAAACACTTCATTTTTTTTTTTAAATAAAAGTTTGTTACTTTATCATGATCGCGCTGTGGAATGTTTATGCCATGGTAATTTGTTTAAGTTCACTGAATCAGTACATTGATTGTATGTAACTGTTGGATGTTTGTGAACTTTAGTCAATTAATGAATATTCATGAGAGTTTGTTGTTGTATTTATTTGAGAATTGTTTGGGGGTTTCATTGGTAGGGCCAAGGGTGGTTAAAGATCTCATATTGACTAGTAATATGAGCAAAATAGTTTATATAACTGGGGGGTGCCCTCATCCATGAGTTAGTTTTTGGAGTTGAGTGAGACTTAAATCCAAACTCTAATGTATATATATTTGTGTGTGTCGTTGGTTTTGGGGAATTTGCGTTATTTTCATTGACTTAGTAAGTTGGTTGTAGCTGTTGGATTCTGAACAGTGATGAAGATATAAGTGACGGATAACCCTTTCTTTATGAGCTAATTTTGGAGATTGAGTTAGACCTAACATATTTTTATATATTCGTGCGTCTCCCCGTGCATGTTGTTGTATTAGGAGAATTTGTGGTATTTTCATGAATTTAGTAACTGTTGGATTCTGAACAGGATCCTGATCTTGTGGTGGAACCAATGTCTGTTGGTGGCAGTTCATCTCAGCCTGCACGTTCATCAACAACCTCGTCATCATCATCCCCCACAAATAATCAACCTCGTGCAAGAAGTTCTGGTGAATATGTTTATTCTGTGAATGTTGTTGATTTTTTATTAGAATACCTTACACAGTGATGGTTGTCTTGGTTTTGTATTTTTTTGTTACATGGCTGACTGAGTGTTACTGTATGTGTTGGATTTTTCTGCAGCATCAACTAATAGAACTTCAGGGACGACATCCACAACTCCAGGTCCTAATCCAGCACCTTTGCGCTGGGATCGGCAGACAGTTATGTTTTCTGTCAATGCTTGGGTATGCTCTCTTCACACTGATTAAGTTAGTTAAGTTCATTTAATTTTCTTGATTTCATAAAAAATGTACATTTCCTAAATTTCCCTTAATTATATTTATGGAGATGAAACATAAGTTTGAAATAAGAATATTTTTTAAATAATAGCATTAAATAAGGTTGAGTTAGTTGGAATTTGCTTATATTTAAGTCCACCGAACATGAGCAGATATTTTGCTAATACTTGAGTCCAGAGGAAGTTGTTATATTCTAATGGAGCTTTATCCTTGAGAATTATAAGCAAAATTGTGAATTAAATGTTAGTATAATACTGCTGATCAGAATTGCCTTCATCACTATTTCAAATTTTGTTTCTTGAGCATTGTGAAGAAAAGACAAGGGGAGACTGAATTAAGAATAGATGCAATGGTGTTTGTGAACTTGCCAAGTTATACAATGGCTAGTTCTTTTTATACCCTGAACTGTCTACTTGCAGATCTCAATCCGTTCTGTTGCTAATCCTTTAATTTGTATATTTTCTCTAGGTGTTTGTTGTGGCTTTCCTTGCAGCCATTCCGCTGGTACCAAAGCATCTTTCTCATAGGGCTTATCGACTTTCGTTTTTGGGCACTACATGCTCCTCTGTGTACTCATTGTACTCACAATATGGAGTAAGTTTTTGTTGTGATTTTACAGTTAACATTATCTTCTGAATGTTTTGATTCTTCTATCTCTAATACAATTGTGACTTTGTTTTGTGTAATTTCAGAAGCCAAGAGCATGGAATATGCAGGCCCTGCAAGTTTACTTTCAGTCGATAATTGCTTCAAAGGATTTTATATACTTCATCTACTGCCTTACGTTTGTCACATCTCATCTTTGCCTAAAACGTGTGTATTCATTTGTCAGTTATTCTCATTTTAATCTTCTTGGCTTCTTCTTGAAGGAATTGATATTACCATTCCTTTATGCCACTTTCATGCCCTACTCTTTATAATCCGTTTTTATTATGCTGCAGTTGCTTTGATACCTATCTTATGTTGGTCGTTTGAACATGTTGCAAAGTTCCTTAGACGGAATTTCAGTCGCTCCATGTTGTACAGGTGAATTAAATTTGAAAAGATTTTACTAGTAACATGCAAGGAAAATAAAATTGCTAGAAGGACAGCAATTCGCTCAGTAAATAGGGGACTGATCCTGTTTTCTATCTCATATTTTCATTAAATAATTGTCAGACCCTAGAGCTTAAATACTTTGCCTTCCCTATTGTTTAAAACTACAGTCTGGCCTTTTGCATGAAGAACCAAATTTATTGCTGTGAAGCCAATTATGAAATTTCTTATATAATTCCGATGTATTCCTTGTTATTTCTGTTGAACTGTCTGGGTGATTTTTCTTGAATTAGATTTGATTTCTGAAAGGCCTAAACAAGTACTTTTCTTTATACCAATGTATAAATAATTATCATAACATAATATTTTATTGTTGATTTGCCCAAATTCCCGCAGCTCAACTCCATATAATGAATCACAGAATTCTCACTTAAGGACTATTTCTAATATACTTTGACATCTAAGTTATAATTTTTTCTTGCTATTTCGCTTGAATAGGAAGTACTTAGAAGAGCCTTGTGTTTGGGTGGAGTCAAACAATTCTACCCTCAATATACTGACATCACATGCTGAGATTGGACTTGGATTCCTGCTGATCATCTCATTGTTCTCGTCAGTTTCTGAAGTTTTTTCTTTCTTCCCCCTAATATTTCTGTGTATCCCTTCTCTATGGAAGGTATTATTTGACTCATTCCACCCTTATTTTTTACCCACACATGCAGGTGGCAGCGGAATATAATACAAGCCTTCATGTACTGGCAGGTTGGTTTCTTGTCATAGCACTGGTTCAGGATAAACGGGAAACTGTTAAATATAGTTAACAACACTCAGACTTTCCTATCCAAATTTGAAGTACCTCATCTATTGATTCTTGCTACACTGTCATAATTTTTTATCCACCAGATCATCACTGTTTTGGACTCTTCTTTCCTATCCAAATTTGAAGTACCTCACCCGTTGATTCTTGCCAAACATTGTCTTAATTATTATCCACCAGACCATCATTTTTAGTTGGAGCCAATGTTTTAAATACCGGATAGCGGTTTTGATTTTTTTTTTTTTTTTTTTTAGTGTATATAATGCATTCTGCATGCATATCAATTGTAGGAAATGATTAAAAGTAATCCAAACTAATAACATTGACAACTAACAATTAAGAGTCACAGCTATCTTAAATCAAATATACAAGTACATTCCAACATAGGAATTATCAATTATCATGTTCTAAAGCCAAATCTTCCTACTTATTTTCTCTATTTTCAACTTTACAAATTAAAACCCAAAACATAGCACTCCTAAAAGGCCCTAATGTCTCTCTTCAAAGGTATTTTTCAGAATCATGTCATAGCATCGTTATAATGGCCGCTATTCAACCTGTTTATTTAGTCCATACAGCCGTCTCCGCCATGGAGCAACCCCAGTGACTGGCAGGGGCCGCCATATGCCGCTAAACTGCTATAGCAAGCTAGTTAAAACCCTGGTGGGATCTAGTAATTTACCTTTGTGCTCATGCATCCATATGCACTCACAAACAAGGGTACTGTGTATCACCAACACTGTTTAATGTGTTTATTTATCTTAAGGCAAAAGATATCTGTGATCCGATAAATGCCTAATTTACCAAAAAATATACATTATACAGAAAAACTATGGAGTTAGAATTCTGTCCACAACAGAAATGGGGATGTAGCTCTTGTGAATCAATCCTCTTCCTTCACCAGCATTGCATTGAACACAATCTGCAAGAAACATAAATGAATGCAATAAAATGTCATTGCTGGCATGTATTGATTCACATGATTTTCCTTTCCTCCTGCAGCTTTTGAAGCTCATGTATCATGTTCCTGTTACCGCCCCTTACCATCAGAATGTTTGGGCGCAAATTGGGAGGAGTGTTAATCCTGTTATCCAACGCCACCTGCCATTCTTGAAGACTCCTCTAACTGCAATTCAAAGATGGTGGCTAAGGTAGAAGTTTAGCTAAAATGGTTTCATATGAACATTCAGTAAACATCTTTTGTTCCTTTATCTTAAAATACAGATTGATATCACATCAAGTGAACAGTAGGTCATATTACAAAGAATTGAAGTAGATTTTGAGTTGAATAATTTTCTAACCTTGAATGTTAGTTCGATCGAGTAGTGTTTATTTACAGTCTAGCATTATCCGTATTATTGATGCCTTGATGTTTTAAAACCCAAAAAAATGGTGTATAGAAAATTTATTTATAAGCAGCACGAGTTCTTATTTCACTTTGAACAAGAATTGTCATTACATGTTATTTTTAAGCAGTTTGCATTTAATTTTTTAAAATTTTAGATAATTTTTATAAGTATCTATATTTTATTAATCTTTTTATTTACATTTTATTTGACAATATAAAAATAATTTAATTTTTATAATTTAATATATTATTCTAACTTAAAATAATAATAAATTTATAGGTTTTAAAGTTTTATAAAGATTAAATTTTATAAAACTAGTTTCTTTTATAAAATGTTATAAAATCAAAATTAAAACTAATTAATTTTATATAATTTAAAAAAGAATGATTTATTATTGTTATTATTATAATAATAATAATTATTATTATTATTATTTTGTAAATAAAATATAAATATAAATAGTTTTAATATTCTTATTCTCGTTTAAAATTGATGATAACAAATTCTAAAATTTGTTTTATTTTAATAAATCTGAATTGAGAATGTTGATTATTAAATTGGTGGATAATGTTTAGGTAAAAGATTATCTGAGTTTTTTTTTATTTGCTTCTTATATTTTTTTTCTTTTCTTTTTCAAGCAATGTTGTTTCTAAAAATAAAGTTGCTTATATTTTAGAAATTTTTATTGTCACTTAAATTAATTTCAATACAATTGAAGATTGAGATACTTTTTGTTAATCTTGATAGAAACGATGGAGGTGAAGTGAATAACCTTATTCATATCATCAATAATTTATTTTTATTTTTTACGTGGATTGCCATTAAATTTATAATTTAATCATAAGTTATATTTATTTACTAACTTAATTACATAGGGTGTAAAATTTTACAATGTAGTTGTGATAATTTTTTTGTTAATATAATAATATATAATTAAAAATACATCCTCGACATATTAAATTTTAATGGTAGTATAAGAAAACAATAAAAAATTAGCTAAAATGTGAAAAAAAATTAAAAGGTTTAAAGTATGAAATCCTATAAACATATACATGAAATAGGTTAAAAGTTGAATCTAGGAACCCTTCTTCCGCAACTAATTCAACTCAAACAAAAAAGATTTTTTTTTAGAGAAAAGAACATTATATATATATATATATATATATATATATATATATATATATATATATATATTTATAACTGTAAAATATAGTATTATATATATATGTGTACTTATAAATATTATAAGTACACATATTATAAATATTTTTTTAGTTCTTTAAAATAATATGTATGACAGAAAGAGAGATAGAAATCTGATATAAAATGGTTGATACAATGAAATTTTTTTAAGTAATTTAAGAAATATATTTTGGAATAAGCTTTTGTATATTATGTTGTTGTTGTCTCTAAAATACTGTATTTTATTTTCGGTCTTCTAATTTTTTATTTGATTTTTAATTTTTATAATTTTTTTTATTTTGTCTTTTTATTTTTCTTTAATTCTTTTAATATGCTTTTTTTTAATCTTTACACTATTTTGTTAATTTTAAATTAATTTTAATAAATAGAAGTAGAGACTAAGAGTTTATGTAATTTAATTTTTAAAAATAAAGATCAATTTAAAAAAATTAAAAACAAGTTGAAAAAAAGTAATAATTTTATTTTAAACTAAAAATAATAACTTTGATTATGATGAAAACTGGTAATAAAAATTAAAAAATATTTTATTTTATGATAATAAAAACGTAATAAAACGTAATCATTAAATAAAACATTAATATTTATTAATAAAAAAATTATCAATTTTAATTTTTTAGTTAAAAAACACTTTTTTAAATTATATTTTAATAAAATAATTATTAAATAGTTTTTTTAGTTTTTAAAATTAAAAAAATTAAAATTATTTCTAAAAATAATAATAAATAAATTACTACTAGGTATCCCACTCTTGGATTGTGACTCTCACTACAAGATAATTGTGCAACCCACAACAATCTCCCTCAACAATTGAGGGCCCACCGGAATCGAACTCGTGACTTTGGCTACGATACCAATTATTAGGATCAAGCACTTACCACTAAGTCAAAAGCTATAACCTTTAGTCAGAGTGCAACTCTTTTTACTTTAATAGTCCAAGCGCCAGGATTCGATTGTGACTCAGCCCACCTTACGTTCGCGAGGGACTACCTGCAACAATATTTCTAAATTTAAATTATACATTTAACTTCAAATAAAACTCACAAACATCGTTTTATATGTGAGTCTCGTTATCCTTCCAGAAAATTGTTTGTGTTGTAGATGGGAGGATAAGAATGAAAGGAGCACATACCAAATTATTATATTAATTTATAATATAAAAATGATATCAAATTCTTTATTTTTTTTATACAATCAAACTAGGTTTACACAATAATTTTTATATATAAAAATGATATTAAAAAAATAAAATAGAAGAAATACAAGATAAATAAACCGCAATACTCAATGAATAAATGTTTATAAAATAAACTATTTAGTTATTTTTATGAAAAATAAATTATGTAAAACAAAGTAATAATTATTTTAAATATGTTGTTTTAATTTTAAAATATTATAACTATTTTTCGAAAACCTTTTATAACCTCAAATATATATATATATATATAATCATTTTAACTATCTTTTCAAGTTAAAATTAATTATTAACACAAAGAAGAAATTTTCTTATTTTAAAAGTAAATGATATCAACATTTATAAATAAATGATAAAATATATGATATTGGAGAGTTTAGAGTTTGGGTTGTGATATTTTTAAACTAACTCCAAGATTTGTAATAGTCTAGGTTATTATGTTTTTACAAATTTTTATTTTATTATGATTTTTTTTACATTTTTTTATATGTTTTTTTTATATAGTGTGTAGGATAATCTCAGTAAACGAGAATATCTCATCCGAATTATAATTATAAATGTGTAACTTTCCAATTAAAATATAATTTTTATACTTGTGTTACATTGAATAAAATATAATATTTAAACTTGTTTGACTTTGAGAATATATAATTTTTATACTTGTACAATATTAAGGAAAGTATAATTTATATATTTGTATGATTTAAATAAGATATAACTTTTATACTCATGTTATTTTTTAAATAGTGTGTAATTTTTTAATTGAAACATCTTTTAAAGATCAAATTATAATAGATTAAAATTTCATAACGGAGTGTATCTTATCACAATAAATAAGAGACTAAATTAATTAAAATTTCATAACGGAGTGTATGTTATCACAATAAATAAGAGACTAAATTAATTTGATTTCTACAAATAATATATGTGTACAAGAAAATAAATATAATTTAAATTATATTTTTTATATTTTTACTTATATTTTATATTATATTTAGAGATATTTTGAAAACTAAAAAATAAATATTAAAATTATAAATCTAAAAACTACACCAATAATAAGTGTCCTTAGAAAGTCTTCAAAATACGTTGAATATTAATTAAACAATTTATCACAGTATTCAAAATATTAAATTATATTATTCTGAAAAAAATATTTGCTATAATGAAAATATATTTTAATTTAGTATATATGAAAATAAAAAAATTAAAACACAAGTTTTAAAAATAAAAAGTATATTAAAGTCTTAAAATATTATAACTTTCTGACATTTCACTACAACATGGGAGGGGAAAAGTATATAAAAGCATGGGAATGAAAAGGTATATAAAATCTGGTTCGTGTGATCTTAATCAAACCATCACAAAACAAAGCCTGCAAATCAATTGCTCTGAATCCATTTCCGTGTACATCTCTGCCTTCTACTATAAATATATTTGCATATGCAACAAAATCAGCATTGGCGCTTCATTACACAAACAAAACGAATACAATAATACACTCTTCCGATCCGATACACTTTTCGATTCCTCTGCGTTGGCCGGCGATGGCCGCCCTCTCCGATCGCCGCCGCACAATCCCGCCAGACAACGTTGACTCCAAGCGGAAAACGGCAAAGTCCGTCTCCACCAACCACCGCAAGACCCACCGCCGCGTCGCCGGAAAAACTGGCCTCAGGCCTCCCCTCACTCGGCAAGAATCTCTCCGCCGAAACATTGGCCACGTCGCTTCCGAAACCTACTTGATTACTGGCCTCGCCTTCACGCTTCTTCGCTACCTTGGGTAAGTCAAATTTCAAGAATCTTTTTGCTTATTTGTTTTTTCATACAATCTTTGATTTGTTTGCATATAATATGCATTTTTCTTTTGTTACTGTAATTCCGCTTTCAACTACTATCTGCTTCATGTAATTACAAATTGTCTTTCTTGCTAACACAATCATCTTTGAATTAGTTCATGAAATTATTAAGAGTTTAATGTACATGTCTTATTGTTAAGGTCAAATATCGTAGATCAATTTCAAATTATTTTATATATGACTTTTAAGAAATTACTTCTTATCATACAATTAAAGTTCCCAAACAAGTACTAAAGAATGTATGTAATTAATACTTTGAATTTCATACAAAATATTATATAATAACTTTTTTTTTTTTTCAGAAATTATACAGTAACTTAATATATTTACTCTTATTACACACTATTAACGCATTTACTATATTGATTAAGAGTAATCTTGGAGAAAATACAGAATTAATAATTTTTTCTCTGAAATATTATAAAAAAAGAAGTGTGATACTTGGGATTTGTGCTCCAATGATTAAATATAGTTAATTTTGTTTCACGGTATGTTAGGATAAATTTTTTCATAAAAAGTTTTATAAGAAAAATAAAATATAAATTATACTTTTTTTCATAAATTAATATTAGTTTATGTATAAATTAATTTGTAAAAATAAAAATTTTCTCAATTTTTATTCTTTACATGAGTATAAGTTAATTTTAGGTTATAAAACAATTCATTTAATTTTTTTGTGTTCATGGATAATCTCCAGACTTATCTAATCCTAAATGAAACTGGTTTGTCATATGTAGTTTAGAGTGACTAAGAAGTAATGAATAACGTTAGGAGGTTATTGATGGTACAAGTGTAAGTATGATTTCGCTCAATAATTTAGAATAGGAAAATGATTATTTGAGAACTGGGTGTGGTACACTCAGTTGTTAACCACTTTAACTGTTTTAATTATTATTATTATTGTTATATATTTAAAATTGGTTGTCAACTTAATATATATTTTAAATCCAGTTGTTAACATATAATCAAGTAATCACTAGCAAATAATTAAGAATAAATGGATGTGGTTGTATATAATCACTTGGCTTTGTAACAACAAATCACATTGCTGTCCTCGAGTTGCTTGATTTGGTTGAGTTGAATTGTGACGCGAACTAGCCAACAACCACGTTGTTGTTTTGAAGAGCTTACTTTCCTTTTATACTGTTATTTTAGTAGTTAGCACTGTTGTAGTAAATTCTTGCATGGGTAGTTGGGAGTATTTATTGGAGAACATTCTTTTTCGTATTTCAAAATCTGTCCAGAGGTGTAATAAAAAGTATTTTCTAAACATAAGCTTACCCAAACAGACTTAGCTTATTAGCAGATAAAAAATATTTTGATCAAAGATTGATTAGAAAAAGGTTTGAAGAAAATAATTATATCTACCAATGTAATTGTGTTCAAACTTGCGTCGACACTCCAACCGGTGTGCCAGAATGAAATTTAAGAATTACTCATAATTTAGTCAAAAATCATTATAAACTCAGCTACTGCCTAAGCTGTTTCTAGCTTATCAAAATGATGGAAAAATGACTCAGGTTTCTGAAAATGCGTTATTCGTGCTGATTTTTCCAGTAGACAAGCCCGTGCATAATTGCCGAGTTCTCAACCTGCTTCTAAAAGGTCATGTGATAATAACATTAAAAGTAATAAAACTAAGAACAAATATGAACTGTGTCCCATACCCATACAGCATTATTTGTAACTATTAAGGCAAATAATCTAAATATACGTTCACTTAAATGTAGCTTGAGTGCTTGGTTCAGTTTATTTTAAAGGAATGTGATTTCTTATTTTGAAAGAGTACAGAACTATTATTTTCTGAAAATAATCCTTTCTCAAACACCCACTATCGTGCTTTTTGCCTTCTGGCATGTCTGATCTTTTGTTGATACATTGTTCAGGATTGGTTACCGTTGGATTACACAATTACTAGCCCTTGGGTGTTATGCCATGCTACTTATGCCCGGTTTTTTACAAGGTTTGCTTAATATAATTGTGCATTTCTCTTTTCTTATCTTCTTCAGTAAAGAAAACGTTAAGCTCCGAGTTTACTTTGGAAGTTTCGCATCATGGATAGATCATGATATATTTTCTTATGCATTCAGTTTACTTAATGCTTAATGATAATCTGATTGTGATTCTTGACACTTGGTTCTTCTATACTACATGTTGCTTTGCTGTTTCTCCTTCCACTTGGGGAGGTGTGGAAAATTTCACACACAAATTACGTATCCAGCAATATTAATAGAAAATGGATCTTTTGATTGTTATTTCTCTCTCATACTGTTGACTTTCTGCAGTTGCATATTATTATTTCTTCTCAAGCAATGTAAAGCGAAGCATGGTTTATGGAGATCAGCATAGAAACAGGTAATTTACAACACTGGTAAATCTTGGGAAGTTGGTCATTTCATGTATCATGTGCCTAATAGTCATGTAAATTGTGTTTTTTCAGATTGGATCTGTATCTACCAGCCGATATTGGTGAACCTAAGCCAGTTTTGATATTTGTAACTGGGGGAGCATGGATTATTGGGTAAGTGGTTTGAAAGGTCTACATGGTTTTGTTTGAATTTGTTAGGAATCCTAATATTCCTAATAATATTGTAAATGCTGTTGAACCAAACAAGGCAAAACATTGGTTGGTTTATTCTAGGAGAAAGAAATCTGTTAATAAAAGTAGTTAGAAGTTATTAGTTGTTTCTGTTCAACTGTTTCTGTTTAACTGTTTATGATTAACTATTAATAAGAGATGATAGAAGTGCTTTGGGGGAGGAGAAGTTTTAGGAGGGTTGTTTTTGTAAATCTGGCAGAGAACCTTTCTCTGAGGAGCCTAGCTCTGGAACTTGCTTGTATTCTTGTATCTGTTCTGGAATTCAAGAAGATTTTCTTTCATTCTTTCTTCTTTATCTTGGAATTTTCCCTTAAAACCTATCATTGGTCTGACCTGCCGGATCTTGTAAGGAAAATTCATCCAGAATTTTTTCAATGACGAGACGTGGAGCACCTGAGACCATGCAGGGGGAGGCGACAGAGGAAAGATTGAGTTCCTTGGAAGCAAAACTTGACGCCTTCATGGAGACGGTGGCAGGAAGGTTTGAGGTGTTAGTGGAGTTGGTGCAGAATTCTGGTAGCAAGCATACAGGAAGGGAGAATGATTGCGGTGAGGACCGGGAAACATTGAACGAATTTCGTATGATGGCCAAGAAGGTAGAACTGCCTTCTTTCAATGGGATGGACCCTAGAGGGTGGATTACTAGAGCTGAGACATATATTGAGGTGCAAGGCATTTCAGAATTTAACAAGATTAGATTGGCAAGATCAAGCATGGAGGGGGGAACCATCCACTGGTTTCAAACGTGGTTGGATTCGGAGGACACTCCCAGTTGGGAATCATTCAAGAATGCTCTAAGAATACGTTTTGGGGGAGGACGCTTGGATGATCCGTTTGAGGAGTTGGCTGATCTTAGGCAGGAGGGTTCGGTGGAAGAGTATATTGAAATCTTTGAGTTTCTTGCTGCTCAAGTGGGTCGTTTACCAGAAAATCAGTTTGTAGGCTTCTTTATGAAGGGATTGAAGGATCAAATTCGATTGCGGGTGCACACATTGCAGCCCAAGAACCGACTGGATGCCATTCGCATGGCAAGGTGTGTAGAGGCCGAGATTTGTGGGACGGTTGTCATCAATGTTGGTAGAAGTAAATCTTGGAGTAATAATTTGAATCTCTCCCGTGGATTCAGACGAAATATGGTGCATTCTCAGCAAGAAAACACTCAAACGCGTGGTGATGTGAAGTCTAAAGGAATAGCCAACGGTGATAATTTTTCTGGGAGGAGATCTGAAGCTTCAGTAGGGTCTTCATCTGTGAACCAGCGGAGTTCCCAACCGTCTTACAGAGATAGGGGAGTTAGGCATCTTTCTAATAAGGAGGTTGAGGAAAGGAGAAATAAGGGGTTATGTTTTAGGTGTGGAGACAAATACCATCTCCTGCTTGTGTGTGCTGACCGGCAGGACAGGCAGTTAAGGTTGGTGATTTTGGGTGCCGATGAAAGTTTCAATGATGAAGAGGAGATCACTAGGGGTGAAACTGATGATGTGGAGATTGAGGGGGAACAATTGGACTGTAATTCTATGAATTTGTTGGGGCTGAATGGTGATTATCATGGTGAAATTCATGTCATGAGATTGGAAGGAAAATTGGGAGAAATTCCTATAATTGTACTAGTGGACAGCGGGGCCAGCCACAACTTTATTTCACCCAAAGTGGTCCAGGCTTTAGGCTTAATGGTGGAAGAGGCTGATGGTATAGGAGTAAAATTGGGGGATGGTCGTAGGGCTAAAACATGGGGTATTTGTCCTAAAATTCAATTAGATATGGGTACAATTCAAATACAAATTGATGCTCATGTTCTGGAGCTTGGAGGTTTAGATTTAATTTTGAGAATGGCATGGATAAAAACCTTGGGAAAAATGGTTATTGATTGGAAAGACTTGTCCATGTCTTTCTAGGACAATGGACGTGTGGTGGAATTAAGAGGTATTGGCAGCAGTAGAGAGAAGTTGATTCCTTCATTCAATGAGCTTCTTGGTGATCAATTTTGTACTGTAAAGGGGTTAAATTGGAAAAAGGGAGTGTTGAATACAACTATGGGAGATAGTGACTTGGAGCAACAGCAGCTTCAACAATTGCAGCAATTACTGCAACAGTATGCCATCATATTTGAGGAGTTGCAGGAATTACCACCTAAAAGAGAGGTTGAACACTTTATAACTCTTTACCCAAGCACGGACCCTGTTAGCGTGAGACCATATCGATACCCCCATCATCATAAGGATGAAATTGAGAAACAGGTGAGTGAACTCTTGGAGGCAGGAGTTATTAGACGTAGCAACAGTTCCTATTCCAGTCTTGTCATTTTGGTTAAAAAGAAGGACTCTTCATGGAGAATGTGTGTGGATTATAGAGAGCTTAACAAGGTGACAGTTCCCGATAAGTTTCCTATCCCTGTTATAGATGAATTATTGGATGAACTGCATGGGATGCGTTATTTTTCTAAGCTGGATTTACGTTCAGGGTATCACCAAATACGTGTGAAGGAGGAAGACATCGAGAAAACTGCTTTTAGGACACATGAAGGACATTATGAGTACTTGGTTATGTCTTTTGGGTTGATGAATGCCCCAGCTACATTTCAATCTATCATGAATGAGGTTTTTAGGCCTTTCCTTCGTCACTTCGTTTTGTTTTTTTTTTTATGATATATTGGTTTATAGTGACAGCTGGTCTGCCCACATATCACACTTATATAAGGTGTTGGATATTCTCAAGAAGCATCAATTTGTTGCTAATAAAAAAAAAATGTAGCTTTGGAAGAAGACAGGTTGAGTATTTGGGTCATGTTATTTCAGAAAAAGGGGTTACTATGGATCCTACCAAAATCAGCAGTATTTTAAGTTGGCCTATTCCAAAGAATGTTAAGGGAGTGAGAGGGTTTTTGGGGCTGACGGGATATTACAGAAAGTTTGTTTTGGATTATGGGAAGATGGCCAAGCCTCTTACTGAATTAACTAAGAAGGAAGCATTTGTATGGAATGAAAAGGCTGAAATAGCTTTTCAGTGGTTGAAGGAAGCTATCACTACTGTTCCTGTTTTACGTTTGCCTAATTTTTCACAAGAGTTTCAGATTGAATGTGATGCGTTTGGTAGTGGAATTGGGGTTGTTCTCATGCAGCATCATCATCCTATAGATTTTTTTAGTAAGGCTCTCTCGGCTGGACAGTTGTCCAAATCTGCCTATGAACGTGAGTTGATGGCTTTGGTGTTATCTATTCAACATTGGCGCCACTATTTGATTGGCAGGAAGTTCACTGTTTTTCAGACCAAAGGAGTTTGAAGGAGTTATTACAGCAGAAGATTACTACATCAGCCCAGCAACATTGGTTGTCTAAATTGCTTGGGTATCAATTCTCTATTGTTTACAAATCTGGGCATGAAAACAAGGTTGCGGATGCCCTTTCTCGGGTTCACGGAGAAATGCAGTTGAATTCTATTATGTCTTATCCTTTATGGTTACGGGGTGAGGAATTAAAAAAGAAATTCAGTGAAGATGAATCTATTCAGCGAATAAAATCTGAACTTTTACAAGATCCTGCTAGACGGAAAGGGTTTGTCGTGCTAAATGGAATCTTGCTTTATAAAGGGAGTATAGTTATACCAGCTAACTCTTCTTACATTTCCAAGTTATTGGAGGAGTTTCATGCTTCTTCTGAAGGAGGACATTCTGGGTTCTTAAAAACTTATAGACGGCTTGCTGGAAACGTTTATTGGGTGGGTATGAAGAAGAAAATTTTGGAGTATATACGTGGATGTAATGTGTGTTAACGTCAAAAGTATGCTGCTACTGCACCAGGGGGATTGTTGCAGCCCCTTTTTATTCCTTCTCATATCTGGGAGGATATATCTCTAGATTTCATTACTGGGTTGCCCAAATCCAAAGGTTATGAAGCTATTTTGGTTGTTGTGGACAGGTTATCTAAATATGAGCACTTCATACTCCTCAAGCATCCTTTCACCGCTACGACAGTAGCTGAAATTTTTGTTAAGGAGGTGGTGCGTTTGCATGACATTCCATCTTCTATTGTGAGTGATAGGGATCCTCTCTTTATTAGTAGTTTTTGGAAAGAACTTTTCAGATTACAGGGAACTAAACTCAACATGAGCTCTTCATACCATCCTGAAACAGATGGTCAAACAGAGGTTTTAAATAGGTTCCTTGAAAGCTATTTAAGATGTTTTACATCAGAACAACCTAGAAATTGGTCTTTGTGGGTTCATTGGGCTGAATTTTGGTACAACACGTCCTTCCATACTGCTACTGTCTTTACTCCCTTTGAAATTGTTTATGGGAGACCACCCCCACGGATTATCAGATTTCTTCCAGGAGAGACTAAGGTACAAGTTGTTGCCCATGATCTTGCTGATAGAGATGAAGCTCTTGCTCAACTGAAATTTCATCTGGATAAGGCCCAACGATTAATGAAACACTATGCTGACAAGAAGAGGAAGAATATATCATTTCAGGAGGGTGAATTTGTTTTTCTAAAGTTGCATCCTCACAGGCAACAGTCAGTAGCTAAACGCATCAATCCCAAACTAGTTGCTCGATTCTATGGAACTTATAAAGTTTTGCAGAAGATGGGTGAAACTGCATATAAACTGCAATTGCCGGAGTCATCCAGAATTCACCCTGTTTTTTCACGTCTCTCAACTAAAACGGGCTGTTGGGAATTATTCCTCTTCTTCCGAGTTACCTACTGGATTTGAGGTGGAATTAGAAGTGGCTGTTGAACCAGAGGAAGCATTAGCACAAAGGGAGATACTTAAGTGGTAGCACTGTCTACCAGAAGATACAACGTGGGAGGATGAACATATTTTGCAGCAATAGTTTCCTAATTTCCAACTTGGGGACAAGTTTGTTCTCCTAGGAGGGGAGAATGTTAGGAATCCTGATATTCCTAATAATATTGTAAATGTTGTTGAACCAAACAAGGAAAAACATTGGTTGGTTTATTCTAGGAGAAAGAAATCTATTAATAAAAGTAGTTAGAAGTTATTAGTTGTTTCTGTTCAACTGTTTCTGTTTAACTGTTCATGATCAACTATTAATAAGAGATGATAGAAGTGCTTTGGGGGAGGAGAAGTTTTAGGAGGGTTGTTTTTGTAAATCTGGCAGAGAACCTTTCTCTGAGGAGCCTAGCTCTGGAACTTGCTTGTATTCTTGTATCTGTTCTGGACTTGAAGAAGATTTTCTTTCATTCTTTCTTCTTTATCTTGGCATTTTCCCTTAAAACCTATCAGAATTCATGTTTTAATTTACTCTGTATGTATAGTTGATTATTCCTTTTTCATTCGAAGCCTTTCTATATCTGCAATAGCACACTGCAGAGGTAGATGCTTAACGATGAACCCTACTATGTTGCTATTTCAAATTCAAATTTGAAAAATAACACAAGTCGCAAGTAGGGTTTCTCTGTCTGAAGTCTTAACTAAAAATAACTGCATGTTGTAGATTTTGCTTTGAAACATACAACAAAATTCTTGGGTGTCTGGGGACAACAAAATACTACATGTGGTTATGGTGAATTGTTGCTTCAATTAAAAGGTATACCAGGCGAGGTGTTTGAAATTGAATTTTAAAAATTTTGGCTTGAAGGATTTGGTTCGTGTAACACTTTATGATACCACACATAGTTGGTCTCCTGCATCTTCGCATGACTACAATTTTAGTTTGTTTGCGTATAAATCTATTCATCAATCTTCTATCTTTTAAAAGTTGAAATGATTGCAGTTCGATTTTGATTTAGGTATAAAGCATGGGGCGCCCTTTTAGGACTACAATTGGCAGAAAGAGACATTATAGTGGCATGCTTAGATTACAGGTACCTGGTCTCAGTTAAAGCAATGCAAGCCTGAGTCTATAATTTACATTTGGTCTGACTTGCTGTGAGGTATTTTGATGGACAAATTGGGTTCTTAGTCTATTTCTAGGACATTGAGTCCGGGAAATTCATAAATCATAAATACAAGTATGCTTGCATCACACTATGTCCTGAACTTAATGTTGTCCGATGCTGCATATCTTAATTCTTAATTTGTTATCAAGTTAAAAATATAGTACATCACATTTAGTATTATCATTTCTTTAATTGATATCTTGATCTTAAAGTTGTTCCAAATGAGTAGCTTTCTTTTATGAAGTGTTATAACTTAGTTATAGCAAAGGGTAGAAACAAACATATTTGTTGCATCTAGTTTCCAAAGCTAATGGTATATTTAGCATTTAATAGATTTTTATTTATTTGTGAGTGTAGAAATTTTCCTCAAGGGACCATCAGTGACATGGTAAATGATACTTCTCAGGGAATTTCCTTTATCATCAACAACATAGCTAATTATGGAGGTGACCCTAACAGGTGGCGTGATACTATGATACAAGATTCCTTTTCATCATATATCTGGACATTCAACTGTGAGATTGATCTGTTCATTTTTCGTAATAACTATCTAACAGAGTTTATCTAATGGGGCAATCTGCTGGTGCTCATATTTCCTCCTGTGCTTTACTGGAGCAAGCAGCCAGAGAATTAGAAAAAGGAGAAAATGTTTCTTGGAGGATTTCCCAGATCAAAGCTTATTTTGGTTTATCTGGAGGGTAAGACACTGTGGCTAGAGTTTCATCCATGTCTTTAATATTTTGGAAATGATGAATTTCATAATATAAGTATAACCATGTTCATTCTTGATTGTCTAGAAAAGATCGATGCAGTTCCTTCATAGTTTTTTTCTTTTGTCATTTAAGTTTTTAGTTATTTATCATACGAAGATGCGTCTTCAGCTAAATGGAAAATTTAACTGCTCGATCACATGATAGTGTTGCTTCATGACGCTGAATGTTGGCGGCTCACAAGAGCGTAAGACGTATTGTGCAATGAAAATGTTGCATTGGATGGGTGGTCAGACTAGAAAAGATAAGAAGAAAAACGATGTGTTAGAAAAATCAAGTATTTCTCTTATTCAGGAAAAATATTGTAGAATCATGCCTTAAATATTTGACGCAAGAAAAGAGAACCAATGGAAGCCCAAGTTATAAGAATTTATCAGACTGACGATAGCCCAATAAGAGCTATATTAGAATATGAAAAACTCCCAGGTGAAAAACCCTTGAAAAGGATTTAAAATTAAATGGACGACTGTTTGAATAATTGGTTTTTGACAAAAGACAATGGCATTATTGATCCATGAGCCAACCTCTCTCAGTAGGAAAAGGCTCTAGTCTTTGTTGTTAAGAGGGTTTCTTCGTTAGCAGGCCATCATTGCTGATTTGACGTTCCTCGTGAATTCATATCCTTAAAATATATGAAGAGTGCATTTTCTGATGAGAAGCAGTGGTGGTGTGGTGACTTTTGATGTTGTAACAGCGAGTGTGATTCTCCAATTTCCTGTTAAATTACTCTGATAATGCAAATAGTTAGAGAATCTCTACCAATATAGATGTCCTTAATGTATGTACTAAAGAAATAATTTTGAAGGGATGATCCATATGAACCATTCCTTTAAAAAATTATGCTGCAGATCCTAATAAGACATCGCAATATCTTACATAATTTTGAGATAGAAAAGCCACAACTTTCACACTTTTTAAAGGATTTTGAGATCGAATGTCAGTACTCAGCATGCCTTTCGGGAAGTATTTGTAAGGCGGGGAAAGGCCTTATGACAAATGTATTGATCTTATGGTTGCTAATGATGATGGTTTTGATGCCCATCATACCTAGTTTTGCAGCAAAATATCATTCCGTATGCTTATGGTAATGAGAAATGGTGGTTTCTTGGTGTAATGTTTGATCTCTTGCATGTTTCCGTAGTATATTTTCATTCTACTTATGCTTTTTTCAGAGGCAAAGAGCTTAAAATTAAAAAGAATGAAAAGATTTGAGGTATTTTTGTGTAAGAGATAATTTCTGCCTGCGTCTGAATTGTGCTCCCCATCAATTGGTTTGGACTTGTTAAACATAATCTAATAACCGTTTCAATGCATATCTGCAGATACAACTTATTGGATCTTGTGGATCACTTCCACAGTCGTGGCTTGTATCGTCGGATTTTCTTAAGGTGTGTCCTGGAAAACTGAATTTCGTTACAACTGACGATATGTTTTCCCCTTGTTATAACTATCATCATCATTACAACTGACGATATGTTTTTCCTTTGTTATAACTATCATCATCATTTCAGCATAATGGAAGGTGAAGAATCTTTGAAGGAATTTTCTCCTGAAATTAAAATTCAAGATCCATGCCTCAAAAGTTCCATTCCTCACTTCCCTCCTGTATATTTGGTCCATGGAACTGCAGATTATTCCATACCATCAGTTGCCAGGTTAGTCGAGGGACTATAAATTGACTGGTCATTATATTATGTTCATAAAAAAATTGGTTATGATACAATTGAAAGAAACTTATTAAGGTTCAATTATATGTTTGTAAGGTGTTAAGTTGATAACTATAATATTCCGTAAAAAGATTGAAAAAAAGTTTGAAGTTGACTATCGTCTACCTAACTCAACCCTCTTTAAATCTAGGATTGGGATTTTTGACAGCATAGGAAGAGTTTTATGATCACTGATTATCATAAAATTAATAACTTTCATGACTTTGTAGGTTGTTTTTTCTTTTTTAACAGTACTTGTGTTATTGTTTACTCTTATAAATGAAAAATCCACTATGATAATTATCTTTGCTAGACTTAAAAATATGTATGTCAAAAAGTCAGTGGTATTTGTTACACTTCTATATATTAATAAGTGATTTTTGCAGTGAACGGTATGCTGATGCTCTTAAGAAGGTAGGGGCAAGAGCTGAGTTGATTTTGTGTGAGGGAAAGACTCATACAGATTTGTTTGTCCAAGTAAGTTAACTGAGATGCAATTCCAAATTTTTTAAAACTTAATAATACATAAATACTTAATATTATGCAATCTTTTAATATATCATTTTGATGATCCGTGTAAACCGTGTAGTATATAAATAGTATTGTAAAAAACTTTGCTTGGTAACTTCTCCATTGCCGATCTCGTCTAGTTTTGACTTCACTGCACAATTAACTATTTTGTCAGAGTTCATAAAGTTAAATTGAGGGCCGATGATAAATCACTTTGGTCTTAGCCCTTGGAGAGACAATAGAGTTAACCTGTATTGATTAGTTTATGTCCCTTTTGTTCCTATTTTTTTGCGAAGAGCATCTGTTATTATCTTTGTTGGAATATATCTTTCTTCTCCTTACCTTTTGAGTAGGTTTTATTAAATATTAGAATTGGACAAGAAAATTCAATGAACTGCTTAAGGGGGAACACCATCAATTATCAGTTATCTTTTATTTTACAAATAATGTTACATAGACTTGTTCTAGACAGTGATTGCTTATGACTTCCACATTAGCTTCTCCTGAAGCAGATGAACATTGTAATACAAATGTAAGATATCCAGTATGTGCTATCCTTTTGTTTTGTCTATTGAACTTCAACCATGCTGTGCAGGATCCACTGCGAGGAGGTATAGATTACCTATTCGAACATGCAGTTGCCGTTATACATAACGATGATAGTGATGCTCTTGCAAAGGATGCCTTTGCACCGCCAAGAAGCCGGTTTGTTCCTGAGATTTTATTAAAGTTGGCTAGCAAGATAAGTCCTTTTTAAGCATAAGTTTTTTAGCATAGTGATTAGAATCTTACTCGTTATTCTATTCTACAATTCGATAACATTCTGTTACCTATCGATTCGTGTTATAAGATGAATCTCAATTTTGTATCTTCTTGTGAATACATAAATGAAAGGGTCTGTAAAATTTCGTGTCATCCATACTAATCATCACGTAATTCAATAATTCTTTATTTTCAAAACTCGTGAAAAGAATTGAAAAAAAGTGTAATTGATCACTGGAAGAAGAATTAAAAGAACAATTTCAAACATTTCCTATTAGGTTATTTCACTATTTTATTTGTTACTCGCTTGTAGTACATGCATTTTTTGACAGTACAAATTGGCTATTTTATTGTTTCATTTTTCTAAAATACAGGCTTCACGGATATATAACTAATAATTTTATTATGTAATAATTGAATTGTCTTATTTATTTATAGTTTAAAATTTATTATATTGAACATTATATAATAATATATTTGAAGCAGTGTTTTTCGATACAAATTACCATTTAGATTCAAATATTTGGTTGCTTATTTATAATTTGATTTTTTATTGGATAACCTTATCTGTGAGTGTACTAATCAAGAACAGTTGGTTATACGACATTATCCATGCATGAAATTGGAGTCATTCATAAAAAATCATCACATAACATTGTTATTTTACAATTGAGTTATTAAAGGAAAATGGTGTGATGGTAACTTGGATGATCCAAGCTACTTTTACCATGGGATGATAAATTTTCCCATATTTCTTCGGAAAAAAGGTTGAGCTTCCTTATCAATATAGAACCTATTAGAACTTGAATGCTAGGAGTTATAAATTAATTTTTTATCATTCTTTTTTATTTGAATATGGTGTAGTCATTTTGTTTAACTCTGTTTTCCTTCCCTTGGGACATAATATTTTAAAAAAAAAATATCAGTTTCTTTTTTATCCCGTTCATACTTTTTTAAACGTGAATTTGTATTCTTAATAGAAAAATGGTGTAGAAGTTCAAATTTATTATCATACATAAACTAGCGACCTTCGTCAATAAAATACAGTATATATATATATATATATATATATATCAAAATAGGAAATCAAGAAAGTTGCCAAGCCCTTTTTCCTCTTAATCGAGCTTTATGCATTATTTTTTTGTTTCATTAGTGTAAAGAAAGAACCACTAGGGGGTCGACTTCGTGGTGAAAGTGTCCCTTTTCTGAGGCGTCTCCAATACTAATCACAACTTGAAGTATCGAAATCCACTATTAGTGTCTTTGCTTTGACCTCAGGTGATGAGTCCGTGTCTTCATGCATGCAAGTCTCTCTCTCTCCTTCAATGCTGCTTTCACTGGGAGATGTATCACTTAACATGCGCAACATTGTCACCTTTTTTTGCTTTGCATCCTGAAATGAGTAGCTTTTTGTTTTTCCCATATGATGTACAGGAAGCATAGGTTTTGGTTGTGAGCCAGTCCTGTCGTCTCTGCCTAAACTATAGGTGGTTGAGAGCTTCCTCTCTATACACTCCCTTTCTCTTACTATATCATCCAACTTTTCAAAAACTTCATTGTCCACTGTTTCCTCTCCAGCTTTTTGCTCAAGCTCTGTGATTGTCCTGTCCAAAGCTTTCTTTCTCAATCGAAGAGAGCACTAAAAGATACACATGGTAATATCAATGTCCTTATGAATGTTTGCTAGATCGGAATAGAAATAGATGAGAACTAAATACAGATAGACGAGGATGTATTCCACCACTTTTTAAAATTATTTCTCATCCTTACTCCCACCAAAAATCTCACTTTATTTCCATCCTCACTCATCCTCTATACCTAACAAAGGATAAAACTAGACTGATTCTGTGAGAAGTACTGGTTCACTGTTTATTGATTTAACAACAGTTTAACCAAGGATGAATAAGAAGCACTTAAAATTATATCTCAAGTAATAAAATAATATAAATTAGAAAAAAAATCAATATCTACAAAATTGAATGAGTAAATTATGTTTTGGTAGAACAATTAGTAATACCCGGAAAAATAACTCATCTCTCTGTAATTTTATTAGTAACTCATGAATAATTTTTTAATTCTTTTTTAATCTAAAAAACATTTTAAATTAAATTAAAATATATATATATATATATATATATATATATATATATAATGAATTTTTGGGTCAAACTGATTTGTACAGCAGTTTTGAACTGGTTTGACCAATCAAACCGGGCTATTTGTTTTAAAAAGCAACAGCTAATATCAGAGACAAAAGAATAAGGGAAAGGAAGAAAAATAAGAACACTAACTCTCTTGTCAAGGAAGCTTCCAAGGCCTTCATCTTTAAGCTTCTCTTTTGCCCAGAATGTGCAGCAGAATCTCACTAGTCCAATTAGTACCAACAATAGAGCAGACTCAAAGAGCAGAAACAATACTATGGCCCTTTCATTGCCTGCAATAAACTTAAAACTATACTCATTTCTTAAAATAACGCCACATTCTCTTAGTTTACAAAGTTGCACATTACCAGTGTAGATGCTGACAAGCTTGGTTCTTTCTTGAGAACAGCTTGATGCAAGCTTCTGACCTATGAAGTGATGAGAAATTTTTGCATGTTTAAAAACACTCAACAAAAAATAAATTATGAAGTCATAGCAAATCATAATCCAGGCATAAAATAAATCATTTACTAGTTAAAAAAATGGATATTTAGCTGAAGGTAACTGAAGAAAAGATCTGTACCTAGAGTGCGGCATTGCAGTGGGGTTCCAATCTCTGCGTGAACATCAGGATCAATCCATTAGTTCATTCAAACACATAATTCCCAAAGGTAAATATTCCATGGGATTTTAGCAATCCAATTTGCACTGAAATAATAATCAACATTCATTCTGCAAAAGGCCACCGGTAAGTGTCCAATTTCTCATCTGTTGATTTAATGGGAGCGACCTTAGTGGAGTGGAAAAGTTAATACCCTTATTCAATATCATCAACAACATTAACAAATTTGTCATGATTGATCCATGTTCGGTATACTGATGAGTTTGACTTGGCTATTGTTTCACTATTCAATATTACCAAAACTTATTTGGTATCCTTACTCAATCTCATCAACAACATTAACAAATTTTTTTACGATTGATTCATGTTCAGTATATTGATCAGTTGCTATGCCGGCTATCATTTCATCATTCAATAATATCAAAAGAAAAAAGAAATATGATTAGTTCAGAGAGTGCACTCTTACTTGAGGCAGCAAGGAAAGCAAGAAGAACCTCCTCATTCATGACAAAATGACTTAGATCACTACTAGAAAATAAGGTTGAAACATGACCTGATTGATTCAACCCCGCAGAAAAAAAAAGTTAGAATTTGTAGCTACTACGTGAAAATTCATTTTCAATACTGTGTTAAGAGGAATGAGTGTGAGAAATATGTACCAGGATAGCTTTCAGACCAATAGATTGATCCTGTTGCAGGAACCAACATGGTAAATAAGGCACCTTTTGGTCGAATTGCTGAAACAAGAGTGTATTCACCAATTGTGTGACTAACTTTTCCTTCCATCTCTATCTGTGAAGTGTATACTGCAAATCCAGAGCAATCGAGAAAAGGACCAACTTGAATCATAGAGTTCTCCGCATTCATTCTTGAGAATTTCTTAAGAATCCCATTTGGAGAAAATGAGTATAGGAATCCATCCACTGAACCAATAGATATCCATCCTGTTACATCAAGTGTACTCCAGTAATGTAAGTTAATATACCACAAACAAATGGTAGCAACACTCTTTATTATTGAATTTTTTTATTTTTTGAAAATTACAAAATTAAGAGTAAAACTCGGTAAATATGAAGTATACCCAAAATTAGAGTAGTTTTCAATAAATTCCAATCAATAATAAAAATGAATTCAAAAGAGTATGTTTCTGAAACTGTTGATAGCATTTCTCTTGGTTGTAGTGATATTTTAGATTAATTTCAAAGTTTATACGTGATACACACTTAAATAATGGGGCAAGTATAAGTTTAATATGAATATATAAAATTGTAATTAGATATCAATTTTTTCATGCAAATGTGAGAAAGGTAGATCCTTCATATAGTTCCATTGCAAAAAAAAGTGAGAACTAGGAACAGTAGGTAACTCGGAAAGAAGAAAAAGTATCATAAGAAATAAATATTATTGGTGCATACAAAGGAAAAGGAAGTGTTTAATGGTGACACAGTGATAGTATAAAACAGTTTTACAGTGTCATTCAATCTGAAACCACTATGTTTGATAAATTTGTTAACTTTGGCAATAATAACCTAAGCTGTTTTACACTGTCAATGCATAACCATTTTTCTCACAAAGAAATGTTAAGTTCTCTTTATAACATGTGTTTAAACTAATCTACCAGCAAAGGACTTACCATTAGAGTCCACTATAGGTGCAGAGTCAACTTTGCTTAATGGCCCTATACTTCTCTGCCACAAGACATTACCTGAAAAGACATCTAGAGCCAGAACAAGAGCCTTGGCTGGAATTGTTACATACAGATGGCCATTGTTTCCAGGAGTGACAGTGAAATTTTTGTCTAACGAACTAAAATCCTGAATCCACCTGAAATAACGGCTCCGAATCGACAAACAATAGAGTTCACCTTCTGTGTTTGAGATCTGCAAATGGAAAAAACATATGTACTTTAAAAGAAATCAAACACGTGTTTGAAGATTTCTTTTCATGAGAAAAAGTATACATCACACATATTCAGACAACTCAGTAGATAATAGATATATATTAAAATAAACCATGGATGAGTAAACCTTACATATATACTAGCCTCACATTGATCAAGCACAGGAACTGAAGCAAAGTAACAATCTGTAATATTTTTCCTGCATCCTTGACGGTAGCCAAACTGGTAAAGCAAAGGTCCGACACTCCAAAGCAAATGTCCATGTGAGTGATATGCAAAGAGTCCTCTATTCTTGACATTGATGTAAACAGTTGAGCCTGATGCGCTCACTGAAAGCCCAATAATTTCAGCTTCTGCTGGTTCACCGGGTCTTGGACCAAAGAAAACGTGTGCTTCTGGCTCAGAGGCTCCAATGCTTCCATATTTAATGACCAATATTCTGTTATCAGCTACCAAGTATACCTGCAATTGGCTTACAAAATTCAGAAACCACCAACACCCCAACACAAACAAAAGTCTTCCCCTTTTCACATCGAGCATGAAGAATTGCACAGATCAATAATGGCCTTAATGCATAAAGATTAATGTGGCTGGTGAGTGCATGAGTCAACTATGATAAAACAAATTAAATTTAATTATTCATTACATTTCTGTAGTTATAAAAAAATTCACTTTTAGTTCTTGCATTAAACAATGTCTCCTTTAATCTCTATACGTGTATTTCTTAATCCTAGGCAATAAGATACTATTATGTCTAACTACTAAAAGGAGATGTTTCAGTATTGTGACTAAAAAAATCAAATCAGTAATTAATTAAACCAAATATTTTTGTAGAAGTTATTCAGAACAAGGAATACCAGAATTGTGGAGAACAAGACATTTATACAAAAAATGGTATGGTAAATGTGAAATCAAAGCAATGTAACATGAAATAAAAATGCCAAAGTGACAAGGCAATTAATAACAGTGAATTGACCTTGCCATGACCTCCACGAACTGGGGTAGAACCAAGGTAGCATTTATAGTCCAAATGCAAGTTCCATGCAATGGTTCCATTGCTTTCAAATGCAAAAAAGTTGCTATGAGAACAAACATAGATCCTTCCATCGTCGTCTCCAAGAAGAGGTTTGGAAAGCCAGTGATATGAAGAGACAAAAAAAGAATAAAACGTAATCACCAAAACCAAAACGATGAAGAAAAGTAAATGGGTCATTTCACATTGTAGAATGTAGTTGCCACAGTTATTGCTTCAAGGCAGTTACCGTTTTAAATGCAAAAACTAAAATCAGGTTTTTGGATGAATATTCCCAAATTCAAAAGTAACCTACAAGGGTTGTCTCTTTAAAAAATAATAAAATAAAAAAATTAAATCAGCATGCAGTTGAACGAAGGATATCCCAACAAAATCTATAAAATTTACTTAATTAGAATAACGATTTAACGGATGAATTTAATTTTGATTAAAAATTTTAAAAAATGATAAATATATTTATATTAAAATAATTTAATTAAAAAATATTTTAAAAATTTAAATTATAATAATAAAATTATTTTTTAGTTAAAATAATACTAATTTAAAATATAAATTATAAAAATTTATTTTATTTTATTTTAAAATAAATTAAAAATTAATTTTATTATTATTATTATCATTTATTTTTAATAATTTATTAATTTAAAATAATAATTAATTTTAAATACTAAATATGAAAATAAATGTTTGTTAAGTAATTATTCTTATATTTATTTTTAACATAAATATATTTTTTATTAAATTAATTTATAATATTAAAAAATATTACTTTATTTTATTTATAATATAATTATTATTAACAAAATTATTATTATTTTATAAAAGGAATGCATTAATAAAAATAAGTCTAATTTATCTGTATCACAATTTAAAATATATTTTTTCTTTTTAAATTTAATTTATTTATTAGATCGTTAAAATTAGTTCATCTCTATTTTAATATTTTTAATTAAAGATAATAATAATATTATTAATAAATAATATGAATTTACGTATTTAATTTTTTATCTTTAAATATAAAATATTATATTTTTAGAGTTTAAGGTTTAAGATATAATTTATATTATTAGAAATAAACATAAACAAAAATTATGGATAATGATATAAATTATATTTATTTACATTTTACTATAAAATAATGTACAAATTAATTTTAATAATATTGATTTTAATTTTTTTATTAACTACAATTATATATGACATAATTCATTCACTTTTAATTAAGATATAGAAAGAAATACACATAAATATTTTTTTTTATTCAATAAAATTTATCCTCATATAATAAAATAAATTTTATTTTGAAAGAATATTCAATAATTCTTTCAACAGGAGATAATTATTTGTAGAACATAAAATCTTTTTCCAACGTAATATTTATTGTAGAATATGAAGTGATTCCATTAAAAAAATCCTTGTAATATAAAAATATTCGATGGTTTAATTAAAAATAAAAAAAATCATTAATTAAAATACAAATTTTTTTTCTCTGAACTATTACATTTACCAATTATTTTTGTAAAAAATAATTTTAAAAATAATATATTTTTAATAAACAGTATTGATGTAAATTATTTTATCAATTATTAAACAATAGTATATTAACTCAACCTTTTTCTTAATTAAAATGTTCTAAGAAATAATTATGATGTAAAATAAATTATATGTATATTTAGTTAAGTTAAATTTAAGGTTAATATTGATCTATAGGCTATTAATATCTTATATTTGTAAAACTTAAATTCATAAATTTAATGAAATTACATAAAAGTATTAGAAACAGTAACTCTTCACTTCTTTTAAGAGTTATTTTTAAGAAATGTATATTTTTATACCTAAACTAAAAAATAAAATTTATCATATTTTAAAGTTTAAAAATTCACAATATTTTCATTTCCTCCTTGAAAAAAAAAAAACTGAGACGGTTCTTTTTCATTCAAAAGATCAGACATAAAAAGTTATTATATTTTAAAATTTTTAAAAAGATTTAGTTAGCTTAAGATAATTTATTTTTTATTTTTTTATTATAAATATGCACATTTCTTTTCCTCATTTATTTTTCATCTTTTGTTAAGGTTTTTGTTTCTCTCCTCATCACAATATTATAGAATTTATTATTTTTATTTCTCTTTTCTTTTGTCTATTTCTTTAATTTTCTCGTAATTTTAATTTAGGGTGCGAAAGCAGTTTCTTTCTGTCTTTGATTTTCTCTTTTTAGAACGGTCCTAACAACGACTCTGTCCGTTACGCTTCCCGATCTCCACAGCGGTCAGGGCAGCGGCGTCTCCGTGACTGTTCTTCTCCTCACTTGGGTCCTCCATTTCTGGGTCTCGTATTTGACAGCAAAGATCTTATCTTTAACTAAATTTCCTCGTCACTGTCTTTTCTTCTCATTTTCTCTCATTTTCTGGTGATGGGTATGCCTGATTTTCTCGTTCCTATTGATGCTTCAAAAGAGCTTCTATACATTTTCTTTATGAAAGATCGATGTACCAAACTATTTTTTCTTTAACAATAATATTAATTGATGTTCATAGAGGGTGATTCAGAATTACTTAAAGATTGTTGGTCCCACGTAAATTAGGTAATCATCTTATATTTTAAATTTTCTAACAATTTTGTGTTTATTTTATATTTTAAATATTTTTATAATTTTATGTTTGGTGGATTGTGTCCTATTTTGATAGAAAAATTACATGTAAACATTTTTTTTAGACTATTTAATTGTTATTCAAAAATTGGTGTTTGTAAGTTAGTAAATCACTGCTTTGTTTTAAAATTTAATAATTTTGTTTTATGTTTTAAAAATTAGACCCGTTCAATTGGTTGAATTAGAAATTGAACTAGAAATTGGTCCGTTACTTTTATTTAATTAGATTTTAATTGAATAGGAATAAAATTTAAAAAACTAAAACAAAATTGGTAAATTACTTAAATTTTTGGATAGAACCAGTTTTTTTTATAAAAAAAATGTACTAGTATGATCAAATGTTTTTAATATAATTTTTTATAAAAGATATAATGTATTTTAATTTTTTTCTTTTTTTCATCTCATATTAATTATGCTAAATTTAAATAATAATAAATTTTTAATATTTTTATCTTATTTTAATAATTATCCATTTTACATTTCTAATATCTTTTATATTTATAATTTTTATTGTAAATTACGATAATCATGGTAATAATGTTTATTTTTTTCTTTTTATAAAAAATATTATTAATAATAAATTTATTATATTATAAAAATATTATATTATTAATTTCGAGTGTATCATGCTGAATTTCGATGGAAATTTTAAACCATGAATTTATTTCTTTACCGTGACAGGTCCAATTTTAAAAAATTTGGTTATATGTCTTCCAAGATAAAAAAACATTATACAGTATTTTTTTAACGCTCACTAATAGTTTATATTGGTTCGTGATTCTTCCAGATTAAATAAATTTTGATACAACAAGATGATGCATATCAACTATTCTACTTTGGAGAATCCTAGAAAATATGTTCAAAACCTTCCTATACATCAACTAATAGTACTATCGCGATTTGATTGGAGATGAGATGTAAGTTTTCACATCAACTTGAACTGGTTTAACTTTTATGCCCATAAAATAATAAAGGTATTGAAATTATTAGGTGGTGGTATTTGCTTCATTATAGATGAGACTAACTAAATTTTACGTGCAGCTTTGTAATACTCACATCCAAAATTCATGTTGACCAGAGAAAATTATCTCATGTAGCAAATGTTCTAGAAAATGAGTTATTTGTTAATGCTATTTCACTGGTTTATTTCTGTTCTTGTTCATTTTTCATTTCTTAAGAAAGCATTAAGAGGATATTATAACTAGAAATCGTGACCTTTATCTATGACTGAGTTTTGTCCTTACATGTTTTGTAGGAAGAGTATATGAATATGCAGACATTGATGCAACGATTGAAAATAGAACTTACAAAGTTCCATGCAAACAAATATTGTCTATTGAATACTTGGTCTAAGGGAAGTATGACTTTAAATAATAAACATGACTCCTCACAAAGAGAGTCATCATCAAAATGCACTGGTTTTCCTTGTAGTAGTACTTCAGAATCTATGCTACCACCAGCCAAAAGAAGAAAAATGGAGTCTACTTCTGAAGCAACAAAATTATTGCAACAACACCAAGAATGTTCTTACTCTTCTATGTATACTAAAATTGAAGTTGGGTGCAAAGAGGAGCAATTTACTAACACAGATACAATAATGCTTGATTCAAAAAACAATACTGATCAAATAGAAGATGTTATTATAATAGATGATAAATTTGAACAACCTCTTCAAAATGAAAAAGTTCTACATGAAAAGAAGGAAATGAAGTCCACAAATTCAACAACTACTGAATCTTTAAGAAGGAGTCAAAATAATGATACTAAGGTCAGTGCATAATCTAACACAATGTTTTTCATTTACCTTAATCTATTTCAATGCTCTCATGTATCTTCTTATTATATTAGATATCTTTATTGCATTTTTTTTTCTCAAACTATGCTAATAAGCTAAACACTTATACATAATTTCATGTTTAACCGTTGAAATTATGATGTTTTTGGTATTTAAATTACAAGAGGGACTTAGTGTAATATTATGTTTTTTGGTTTTAGTAATATTCTATTGTATTTGATACAATATCTAAATTTGGTTTTAGTCTCCTAATGTTTTTTTTTTTCATAAAGAGACTATGTAGTAAGCATATGATGCATGTTTGGATGAATGCAAGACTAAAATAATAACAATTTAAGAACTAAAGTCAAGTTTAACTACAACAAAGATCAAAAGTACATTTTTTCTAAATTTTAATATGTTGTGAAGCAAAACTAGAGTCAAACAATATATTTACCTTGATCATATGTGAATTTCTTCAACATTTTATAAGTTTGGTTTTGACATTTTTCCAAGCATATACAAGCTCATGCTTCTTTCAACAGGGTGAAATGGAGACAGAGATACAAATTGATGTTTACAAATGCCAATTATGTTCAATGGGAAAACTTTATTTTTCTCCCCAACCAATTTATTGCTTTTGTTGTGGCATTCATATAAGGCGAAATACATACTATTACTCTACAAGAGAACAAGAAGATACACAACATTGTTTTTGTGCTGCATGCTATAAGAATGCTCAAGGTGGAAGCATCACATTCAACGGGACATCAGTTTCTAAGATAGACATTGACAAAACAAAAAATGATAAAGAATATGAAGAAGATGTAAGTTTAATGTCTCTATGTTATATTTCATCTACATTTAGACAATTATAAACTCACTTTTTATGACCATTGACTATTTCTTCCAGGTTGAATGTAGTAAATGCAAAAAGTGGCAACATCAAATATGTGCACTCTATGATGATAAAAGAAATATGAACTGCAGTGGAAAATATACATGTCCTACATGCTATGTAAAGGGAAATATAAATGATGTGCACATGCCCTTACCTATGTTTGAGGCTAAAGACTTGCCAAGAACCAGGCTTAGTGACCACATAGAAGGGAGAATTTTTAACCGTCTCAAGAAAATTGGGCTAAAAGGAGAAAAGAATAAGAATCCTGATGATGATATGGAGGTAAGAATCTTCAATTAAACACTTTTAATCTTGGCGTGTTAATTGTAGACAAATAAGTATCTAAATAAAACACTCAGTATATTATCACTTGATATATTTGCAATGAGTGATGCATGGTCAATTTATAGGTCCTTTGGATATGACCTCTCAACTACATGCATTTAATACAACTACTACCTTTCAACTACATACATTCAATACAACAACTACCTCTCAATTACTACCTCTATAACCACTACCTCTCAACTACATGCATTTAATGTTTACCTAACAAAATCCCCCCATAAACTTAAATGTTTTTCTTGTCCTTCATTCCAAGCATCTTCTTGTTGTTCTCGAACAGAGTGGTTGACAGTGGCTTCGTGAACATATCTGCAGCTTGTGTTCGAGTTCCGACGTGCTCTAAGTCCACATTTCCTTCTTTCACTTGTTCTCGGATGAAGTGAAATTGAACATCAATATGTTTGCTTCTCTCATGATTGACCGGATTCTTTGCCAATTCAATGGCCGACTTGTTATCAACTCGAATCACAATCCTTCTTTCTTGCTTCAACTCCAGCTTTATTAGAAGGTTTCTAAGCCAAACTGCATGACAGACACTCCAGGATGTTGCAACGTACTCGGCTTCACAAGTTAACAACGTTACAATGGGCTGCTTTTTTGAAAGCCAGGTGAATGTTGTGTTTCCCATGAAGAATACATATCCAGACGTGTTTTTCCGGTCATCAACATCTCCACACCAGTCACTATCCGAGTAGCCTACTAGTCGATAATCATCTGTCCTAGTATACATTAGGCCAAGTGACACTGTTCCTCTCACATACCTTAGAATTCTCTTTAGTACCTTCCAATGAGTATACCTTGGATCCTCCATATATCGACTTGTTATTCCAACACTTAGCATTAAATCTGGTCTGGTATTTGTAAGATACCTAAGACTTCCAATCAGACTTCGGTATTTGCTCGCATCAACTCGGTCTCCATCTGCATACTTAGAAAGTTTTGTACCAGGTTCCATAGGGGTGGAAACCGGGTTGCAACTTGTCATCTTAAACTTCTTCAAGATCTCCTCAGCATACCTTTCCTGCGACACAAAGATGTCATCCTTTCCCTGAACAACTTCTAAGCCAAGAAAATACTTCATAAGACCCAAGTCAGTCATCTCAAACTCCTTCTTCATCACTTCTGTAAACTCTTCAATTAGCTCGGCATTATTCCCCATGAAGATAAGATCATCAACATATAGGGCAACAAACATCACATCTTCTCATTTCTTCTTTATGTATAGAGCATGTTCATAGGGACACTGCTCATATCCATTCCTTTTGAAGTAAGTGTCAATTCTTTCATTCCATGCTCGTGGAGCTTGTTTCAAGCCATAAAGTTCCTTCTTCAATCTCAACACTTTCTTCTCTTCTCCTCTTTGCATGTATCCGAGTGGTTGTTCAACATATACTTCCTCCTCCAAGATTCCATTCAGAAATGCCGACTTCACGTCCATCTGCAAGATTGTCCATCTGTGTTGAGCTGCTAAGGAAATCAGCAACCTAATTGTTTCCATTCTCGTCACTGGGGCGAATACTTCGTCATAGTGTATTCCTTCTTTCTGTTTGTACCCCTTCACTACGAGTCGAGCTTTATATCGCTCAACTTCTCCTTCAGCATTTGTCTTCTTCTTGTACACCCACTTTACGCCGATAGGTCGTGCTCCTTTGGGCAAATCAGTTAGCTCCCATGTGTTGTTGCGTTCTATTGCTCTGATCTCCTCGTCCATTGCCTTTCTCCACCTTTTCTCCTGCACGGCCTCTTCAAAACTTAAGTCTTCTGAATCTGCCAAGAGACATACAACATGCACTTTGTCAGTGGAGTTGTATATATCTTGCAAACTTCGCGCTCTAGGCTGTAGAGGTTCATCTTCTTCATCAGAAGTCTCATGATCTCTCACAGTATGTGGTGTATCAACTTCCGAGCTTCTACTTCCTATGGACTCCTTCTCTGGGTTGTTCCAACTCCACTCGCTTTCTTCATCAATTTGAACATCTCGGCTCATGATGAACTTCTTAGTTATTGGGTTAAACAACCTGTACGCCTTGGTTTTTTCATCATACCCAATAAACACGTACTTTTTACTTCTATCTTCGAGCTTGGTCCTCTGTTGAGCTGGAATATGACCATAAGCTATGCTACCGAACACTTTAAGGTGAGACACACTCGGTTTTCTTCCACTCCAAACTTCTTGCGGTGTCTTCTCGTTCAGCTTAGCATGTGGACATTTATTTTGCACATAGATGGCACATTGTACTGCTTCTACCCAGAACTCCTTTGGCACATTTTTGCTTCTCAACATTGTTCGAACCATGTCAAGAATGGTTCGATTCTTCCTCTCGGCAACTCCGTTTTGTTGGGGTGAGTATGGTGCTGTCAGAAATCTCCTTATCCCTTGCTCCTCGCAATACTTCATGAGTTCGGATGAAATGAACTCGCCTCCTCGATCAGACCTAACAGATTTGATAGGCATGTCAGTCTCTTTCTCAACCATTGCTTTAAATCTCTTGAACACCTCAAACACCTCGGATTTCTCCTTCAAAAAATATACCCAGGTTTTTCTTGAAAAATCATCTATAAAAGAAATGAAATACCTTTTCCCACTGAAGGACTCAGGGGTAATCGGTCCACAAATATCTGTGTGAATCAATCCAAGTTGTTCATTTGCACGGTACTCGGCCGTCCTCGGAAATGAGGTCCTCGGATGCTTCCCGAGCACACACTCTTCACATAATTTCTTTTCAAATTTCATAGACGGGAGTCCTCGCACCATCTCTTTCTTTACCAACTCGGTCAGTCCTCCAAAATGCAAGTGGCCAAATCGAAAGTGCCACATCATTGCTTCATCCTTCACGTCAAGTTTCAAGCACCTCTCTTGGACTATCTTCAAGTCCAACTTGTACATTCTGTTCTTCTTCATTTCTACTCGGGCAATCAAACGATCCGACTTGTCCTTCAGGTATAGTACTCGGTCTTTCATCAGAACCGAGTAGCCTTTCTCCATCAGCTGACCGATACTCAATATGTTGCTTTTGAGATCGGGTACATAGTACACGTCTCTGATTTCTCCAACTCGGCTATTCTTCTGCAGGTACCAGATTGTACCTCTGCCTTTTACTGCCACCTTTGATGCATCTCCAAATGACACGTGTCCGACCTCAACTTTATTGAGCTCCTTAAAAAGGTTTTCGTCCTCGCACATGTGGTTACTTGCTCCTGTATCAAGATACCAAACCGAGTTGTCAGAACAGCTCGGACTTAGCTCGACATCCGAACTTCTTGACATCATCAATACTTCTTCTTCCTCAGTGTCCTCAGAGAGGAGGTTTGTCTCCTTCTTCCTCTCAGATCAGCAGTCCTTCGCGAAATGACCGTACTTCCCACATTTGAAGCACTCAACTCCAGAATTGCTTGACTGACCACCTCGGCCTCTACCGTCACGACCTCTACCTTGTCTTCGGCCACGCCAGTTTTGTTGACTGACTGGCTTCTTGCCTCTTTCATATTCTCCTCTGCCTCTACCACCTCGGCCTTGAGTGTTCTGAGCATAAGGAACATTCTTCTCCTTTAAGGTTGCCTTTGCTTGGAGTGCTTGATCAAGGGACTCCTCTTTCTTCTTCCTTCTCCGCTGCTCATGCGCTTCAAGCGACCCGGCAAGCTCTTCTACCGAGAGCACCGACAAGTCCTTGGACTCTTCTATTGCACAAACGATATTCTCAAAATCGTCAGTTAACGACCTTAAGATTTTCTCCACCACTCGGCAAGTGGGCAACGTCTCTCCATTTCTTCCGAGTTGATTCACCACGGTCTCAACACGGGAGATGTACTCGGCAACCCCTTCGACCTTTTTCATCCTCATGCTTTCAAGCTCGCCTCTAAGAGTTTGAAGCCTGACTTGCTTCACGCGATTATCCTCTTTATATGCCTTCTCCAGAATATCTCACGCTTCTTTTGAAGATTTAGCATTTGCTATCTTCTCAAAGCCGGACTCATCAACAGCTCGGTACAGTACGTACAAAGCCGTTTTGTCCTTTACTCGTGTTGCTCTCAATGCAGCAAGCTGAGCAATCGTCTGCTCTTCAATATTCTCTGGTTCTTGGTACCCATTTTCGATCACATCCCATACTTCTTGGGAACCAAGGAGAGCCTTCATTTGCAGGCTCCAGTTATCATAGCTTACGCCTTTTGATAACTTTGGTAGGGGCATGTTGTTAGCTAAGTTGATCATCTCAAACAAACTCTCTAACTCTCAAACACTCTTTCTAACGCACTCAGACACTCAGACTCTCAAGCTCTGATGTCAATTTGTAGACAAATAAGTATCTAAATAAAACACTCAGTATATTATCACTTGATATATTTGCAATGAGTGATGCATGGTCAATTTATAGGCCATTTGGATATGGCCTCTCAACTACATGCATTTAATACAATTACTACCTTTCAACTACATACATTCAATACAACAACTACCTCTCAACTACTACCTCTATAACCACTACCTCTCAACTACATGCATTTAATGTTTACCTAACATTAATTTCAAAAGTTCATGTTTTCTAATTTGTCTGGTGCGACTCAAATTGCTAGGTTTTTATTGCACACAATCTTTTTGTTAGGGTTGTGCTATCTATCGACAAAATAGTAGAAGTAAAGGAACAATTTATTAACATCTTTGAGGAAGAGAATTATCCTGCAGAGTTTTGTTATACATCAAAAGTAAGTAAAGAGGTTAATTCATGAATATATTAGTTTTAATTACACTATAGAGTTCATAAGTGATAACAACTACTTCTGTTTCAGGTCATTCTTATGTTTCAGAAGATTGATGGTGTAGATGTATGCCTCTTTGCAATGTATGTTCAGGAATTTGGCTCAGAATGTGACTATCCCAATCAACGTTCTGTATATATATCATATCTTGATTCGGTTAAGTATTTTACGCCTGAAGTACAAACCTCAACCAGTGAAACTCTTCGTACCTTTATTTATCATGAGATACTGGTATGTTGCTTTATTTATCATGAGATACTAGTATGTTGCTTACACAATTTTGTTTCTATTTACTTGCTTTCTAGTTTTGTAACTTTTGCTAGGGTTCATTTATGATGTTGATTAACTGACAAAGTAAGAACTTAAAGCCTCTCGTTGATTCGATTTGTGTTTTCCTTTTTTCATCCTCAGATCGGATATCTTGATTATTGCAAAAAGCGAGGTTTCACAACTTGTTATTTATGGTCTTGTCCATCTAATAAGGGGGAAGATTATATACTGTATTGTCATCCTAGAACTCAAAAATCTCCGAAGCATGATCAATTACGACATTGGTATGTTCTTCTTTCTATTTATGCTTTTGTTTAGTGTTCATGTGGGATATTATATTATTCTAGAGTTATCGTGTTATCTGAATCTTTTATTTTGTCATCCTTGTGTTAAAGCATTAGCACTGTCATCCTTGTGTTAATTCATGTAGGTATCATTCAATGCTAAAGAAGGCAGCTGAAGAAAATATAGTTGTTGGTTTAACAAATATGTATGATCATTTCTTTCTTTCAACTGGAAAACGTGGATCCAAGGTAACAGCTGCTCGTTTGCCTTACTTTGATGGGGATTTTTGGTCTAGTACCGCAATGGATAAAGCCAAGAAGATTGAAAAAATTACCAGAGGAGACAATGAAAAGATATTAAAACTAGTACCAGCTAATCTATGAAGTGCATGGGCCATGTAAAACTTTCAAAAAGAACTGCCAAAGATGTTCTAGTGATGCAAAAGGTTTGTCTATCTTGTTTCTCACCTTCATCCATTTGGTTTATATATATATAGCATTGAATGAAATGTTGCAGCATGCTTATACCCTTGTTTATGTTACTTGCATCGATCCACCATATTTATTATCCGTTATCTTACCTTTCTTCCTTTTCTTGTTATCACCCTATTCACAGTTAGGACAAACCATCTTACCTTTCAAGGAGGATTTTATGGTAGTTCAACTTCGGTATGTTTGCATTCACTGCCATATAGTGATAGAGTGTGGAAAACGATGGCTTTGCACTGAATGCAAGATATTTCAAGAGTGTGAAAGGTAAAGATTTCTTAAACATAAATATTTAACTACTTTCCCCCTTTAAACATAAAATAAATGTTTGCTTTTCATATAATATTCCAGATGTCATACTGTTGACTCACACACTACTGTTAAAGGCGAGAAGCATAAACGTTGCCAGGTACCTACCTAAACTTTTTGTTAAGTTCACATGTTTTTTTTTTTATAAACCCTTAATGATTTTTTAAGCATCATATATTTTTAAATTGTGTGTCTCTCCTTCCAGGTCCTCGTGAAAGACATCCTTCGTGATACTACTAAGGAGAAAGATATCATCCTTGATAATGGGTTATTCAATAGCAGATATAACTTTCTTAGCTTTTGTCAGAGGAATAGGTTTCAATTTGATTCACTTCGCCGAGCCAAGTATTCCTCAATGATGATCCTCCATTATCTAAGCGACCCTACTTCTTTGGTGGAACAATATGTCGTGTTTGCTGTAAGCGCATTGTTAACCAACGTTATTGGAGATGTGAGAATTGCCCTCAGTTCACTGTTTGCTCTACATGCCATAATGCCAGAGGTGCTAAATTCCATGTGCACACATTGAGTAGTGAAACTTGTTTAGCAACACATTCTTCTTTAGAGAGTCAAGAGTTAAACCAAAACTCTGTAATGGTCTAAACTTTAGTTTTATTTTTTGTTCTTATGATATAATATGCATGCATGGTTGCTAACCCATGTTTACCATGAAGTTGCAGGAACTACAGGATGTTATAAAGCATGCATCTCAATGTCATTCAACTCAAACTCAACCATGCAGTTACCCCTACTGCATGAAAATCAAAAAGATGTTTGGTCATGCCAATAGGTGCACTGTTCGAGTTTCTGGAGGATGCCAAGTTTGTAAGAAGGTTTGGATGGGACTAACTTTACACTCAAAGAATTGTAAAGACTCAGCATGTCGCATTCCTCGTTGCACGTTAGTTACTTTTACATTTCACAACCTATATCATTCTTTCTTTCCATTAAATTTTACATAAATGTTTATTCCTTGATATATTTTTTTCTCTAATTTTTAGGGATTTGAAGAAGCAATCAGAATGGCTTGCAACACAATGTGAATCACGACGTAGAGCTGCAATTTTGGAAGACAAGAAAGTGATCACGGTTGATTAAAGTTAAAATTGGAAAGATTTGGATGACTAATTTTTGTAATTTTTTTCTTTAATTTAAACTTCAAGGAATTGTATATTATTTTTAAGGTATTAAGAAAAATGACTTAATATTCTTTTAATCCTCGTATTTCACTGAATGCAATTTGATCTCATGTTCTAATCACATGCATAATGCATTTCGCTTCTTTGGTTTGTCAATAGTTGAAATTAGGTTCATGATCTAATGCATGTATTCTTTGACTTGGCAGTGACTTGTTTTGTCTCACATGTTGTGTGAATACTTGAATAAAAAAGAAATATGCAATGGTTTGTGTGCAAAGATCCTCTTATAACCATTATATGTTTCAATGTAGAGTTGAGAAATTTATGAATGTGATTATATTTTACAATCTATTTACTAATCATGTGATGTTATAATTCATATGATGTAACCTTCTATAAACTTTGAATATTTATAAGTGAATGAATCTTTTGAACAAAATGTCTTCAATCTTTAATAAATATAGAGATAAGTTAGAATATAAAAAATAATCTATATAATTATTTTTTTATGTTATTGGAGAATAAAAAACATTATTATAATATATATATTTAAAAAATACTAAAAATATAAAAAATAGATAAAAAATACAAAAGCCACGATGGGTGATTCTATTATTATTATTATTATTATTATTATAATAATAATAATAATAATAATAATAATAATAATAATAATAATAATAATAATAATAATAATAATAATAATAAAATAAGAGAACTACATGCGAGAAAATTTTTAAAACAATATAACTTTTAATATTAAAGATAAATGTTTAAACATTTCAAATTAAGAAACTTTAAAACTATATAACTAAATTTTATTATATTTTACCAAAAAATAAGGTGAATATTTATGGTGTGATGAGGTAATAAATAAATAAAGTGAAAACCTTCTATAAAAATTGATTAGGAATAATTATATAATATTATTTTAAATTTTAGACTTTGATTTCCTTCACTATATTCATGATAAAAATTCCACTTAACTTGTATCGATAGTGGTAAAACAAAACTTTTGTAACATATTGGATATGCTTTATATTGTTACAAACATTTACATAAAGAACTTTAATTAAAGTACTTTAATACATGTTAATAGTTCAAAGGTTTCAAAGTTTACATTTATTCTGTAATTTTTTTAAGCTGATTTGTTTTTTTATCTCTGAAAATGATAAATAAAACTTTACTAATGATAATTATTTAATAAAAAACATTACACATTTTGATGAAATTCTTAAAAAGTATAAAAAAATGGTAAAATTATTTTGGTATAAAATTACTCCAATTTAATCTAATTGATATTTTTCCTACTTCTTTTATGGTCGCATTATTACATATTTGGTAAATTAATATCTAATTGATAGAAAGACAAATGTGTACAATTTTGAAATTAGAGGGTATATATTTGACAAAATTGAAAGTTTAGTAGTGAATTCCCAAAACTGAAAGTTTAGACGCGAAAAACGCAAAAAGTTCAATTATAAATGTGTACTTGAAAAATTTTAAGTTCAATGATAAATTTGCAAGTGTAAAAATTTATAAGTAAAATGGTAATCAAGTGTCAATGGGTACATTGCTTGCATCAACATGAGCTTCATTCAGTTCACAAGACTAAAATGCATCCAAATATGACCAAAATTGATTATCAGCCTTCACAATCAATAATCATCAGGAAAACCAAGGAAATTGTTTATATGCTTGGCCACTGGCGTAGCATCACCTGGAGAGTAAGGAAAGAGAGAACTTAAATCCATATCGGCTATAGTTTGGTGGAGTGTCTGAGGACTGGCACAATACAGATGTTTTCTATCAGCAAGTTCTTCTGCTAGTTCACTTTGATGATTATCCATCAAATCTTCATTTACAACCACGATTAAAGGTTTTCCCAGCCGCAATGTCTCAAATATGCTACCAGACCCTGCATAAATTCGGAGTAGTAAAAGTAAGTTACCAGACAAGATTGGATGCAGGATATTATTTCATAGGGAATAGTCACTAAAGGCCACAATTTGATGTGTGACACGAATTTGGGGAAGACTTCATTCATAACTCAACATCAACAAAGAGAACTTGGCTACTCATTCAGAGAATTAATGCTAGTCCAGCAGCAATAGAACCCCAGTAGATGTTATTTCAATAGTTCTGAGCACCTTCCCAAATAGTAATGGGATTTAGATGGAGACTTCTCTTTATATCATTGCGGGGAAGCATTTAGTCCATTATTTAGCAATGTTTTATTTAGGATTAGTTGCATAATATATTATTTAAACCATTATCTTGCATATTTTTATTTGTCTTTCTTGTGGCATATCGGGCAGATTACTTTTTGGGTGCCTTTAAGATGAAATGAGATCATAATTGGTAAATGAATACCAAAATATTCACAATTAGCAGGATTTTATTGCCTTACTTTATTTTAGTATGGGCCTAATAATATTGAGCCCATAAGCTTGAAATAGGTACTTTCTGTGTTAGGTTAGTAATTTTCAACGATGGCTATGTAAAAATGACAAACTTCATTATCATCTTCTCCGTATGGTATTTCTTTTATTTCTCTTTTATGTCTTTTTGTGGGACAGTTCATTGCTGTGTGAGACTGAATCTTGAAAGTTTTGGTGTGAAACTCAATCCTGAAAGTTTTCTATTCTAAATTTTATCTCAAATATATTGCACCCTTATTTCAATTCTTATTCTAAATTGTGATAATTGTATAGCCAAATATGTAGTCCTTCTGAATTCTATGTATGTCAATCATGCACTTGCAATTTTTCAAGCTTCAGGCAATGCTGAACAAAATCGTTGGAACTATATGATTGCAAGGATACTTGGAAGTAAACAGTTCCCCAGCATTTACCTAATCCTTCATCTTAAGGACACGCTGATTCTTTTTGTTGAGATTACTGTTAGATACAGTTCCCAAATTGGGGAGGGGAGGCTTACCCAAGATGAGCCCAGAAATCAAGTGCTCCAACCCCATCAATAAAGCTCACTTAGGAAAGTTTTCATAGTAGCTTACTAGTAAGTAGAGGCAGACAATATTAGGGAAAGCATGATCAGTTAGTTTAATGAGAAAAGGCCTGCATACTCCTGGGGAAGACACCATTCTATACCATTTGCACTTGACACTAGATACCATTTCTAAACGGTCCTGCCCAGAGTTGGCCTAGGCTATTCAATAAAAATTCCTTTTTTTTTCTTTTGTTTATTTGACCCCTATATTTTGAACTGTTACCTATCAGTTTGTTGACTTCAAAGAAAAGTGGTTATCAAATATTAACAAAGCACTATTGACACAAAACCATTCATCCCGAAAGATAATTAACCCACGTGGATTAGGGGAGCAGAATACAAAATTAGCCTACAAGCCCAAGTTTATGATACGATACGATACGAGTATAAGATATGATACGTATTGGATCCAAAACGACGATTCATCTTATATTAAAAAATATAAATTATGATACATTTAAGATATATATATATATATATATATATATATATATATATATATGTATAATTCATAAAAAAATTATATATAATTATTAAATATTATTTAAATTGAACACATTAAATATATTTTTAAATGTATATATGATTTTAAAAAATTTAAATGTAAAATAAAAGTTAACAATAATTAAAATCTGTTTTGATAAATATTTAAATAATTCAAATCTGTTTTGATTAATTTAACGAAAAATATTTGTTATTCTTTTTATTTTTGTTTGGATTTTTTTTCCGATTCTTTTTCGATACGAATTTTTTAAGTATCGGATACGTTGGAGTTGGAAAAGCGAACGTATCCGTGCATCATAGCCTGGCAGTATACACCAAAGAATACACAAAAATGCATGCAATAGACGAGTTGTAACCAATATACCTGCGTGGCTAATGACAAGAGAAGCTGATCTGAGATGATCTGCAATACTGGATGAAAAAGTGAAGTAGTCTACAGCCAAAGTATCAACTCCTTCAGCCTACAATTAATAAAGAAAGGTCAATAGTAAGAATGAAAATGATGAAGTGAGAATTTCACATGCCAGTATCAACAAAAATTGATTTTATAATTTAATTATTATAATGAAATTCACAACCAAACAAGTATCATATGAGAAAATAGAGGGAAAGAAATGAGAGAGGAGAAAGTACCTTACTAGGAAGATATGATCCTCGACCCATTTGAATGAGAAGGTCAGTGTATCCTTTTGCAAACAAGGCTTGTTTAACATTGTTGGAATCCACTGCTCTTACAAGTGCATCAAAACAGGTCGTCCCTACAGTAACAAAAACCACTCTCTTTTCCTTATCTCGGTCTTCTTCGTTCCCCATTAAGCTACGCCCAATCAATTCAATTCAATTCAATTACAGTCCTTCCGCGGGTGTACTGACTTCAGAAGTAACAACTAGCCTTCAAGAGAATTGATCACATCATTAAACGGAACATATATCAATGAACAAAAACTATCACCTAAAAACTGAGACACTAGCCTTCTGGTCATTGTGCAAGACATTTGAGTTGAGCAGTCCACTGGGTTGGGTAAACTGAGCCTAAGTCTTGTTGAATTTATTTTCTAAATGGTCACGAAATCTTATAAAGATTAAGCAATGAGTTAACCTTGTTCAAGGTAGTCAAAATTGCATTTTGGAATGTAAGATCGTATGCGATTAGGATCTTCTCCAGCCTCTCCTTTTGGCCTCACCTCACCTCACCTCTATGTCGTGGTTTTAGTGGATCACGTCAGATCGTCATCAAAGATCGAGACTTGCATCAGTGCGGCATCTCTGTCACACAGGTAACACGACGTCTCTGTCATGCGGGTATAGCAGGGGCATTATATTTAATTATCTTTAATTCTCCTTCATTTTCTATTTATCTAATTAAAAAATGTACATTATTAAAAACATTTGGTTCCCTTAGGCTATGTATTAAGCAGTTAGTTTAGTTGGTACATATTTTATTTTTCTCATGTAAAGAAATTTTGTATGTGCAAAACCTTACTAGGTAGAGTTTTTTCTTTTTTTTTTTCTTGTGTTGTGGAGGTTTCTGGCTTCTCACCTATAACAAACTTTCCTACTAGAAAAGATACATTTGATCCTAAACCAAAAATAAAACTTGAACCAGTCATTGACTTGGCCAGGATATTGAGTTTCTAGTGAAACCAATGAGTCATTGGTGGTACTGATACAAAAATTTTATACCTAGGAGAATTCCAAAATATTCACAATACAAGCTAACATAAAAAGTCCACGCTCCAAATTGAAAACCATTAAATCACACAATTTTAAACAATAACCATCAAGATTTCATCAAAACATAAGCTCAGAAATTAGTTCCAAACATAATTAGACAACCAAAGTTTTTATAATCTTATCACAGCTCACAAATAATAAGCACAACCAGAGATACAAATTTTCCTGCTACTACCCCTGATGGGTTTACATTGTAACTTTAGTTGAGATGGTTTATGCATGGTTATAGAATCAAACTCCCTTGTTGCATCCTGTCTATAGTTTTGCCATCCACTGCCGTCATTATAATTAAACATATTGTTTCTACTTGAGTCAGGTGCTTTTGTTCTGAACAAGTAAATTGGTTTAGAGCTCCGTCAATTCCGCCCTTTCTTTGCCAAACTTTGGCCACGATAAAACAATAGGGTTTGGGCAGTTGACAAACTTAAACTGTCTAACCTCCACCTCTTCGGTTCAAATTTGCAATTGTGCCTATCCTAGGCTGTAATGAATATTTGCAATTGAGCCTATTGATCTATTTAGCCAACCTCAGTGTGTTAAAGCTTCATGATCGTAGTTGTTTTTTGTTAGAATGGTAGTTTAGATGTTCCTTAACTACTTGTACTATTATGTATGAAGTACAGCATACAGTAATCTCATTCTTTTTAAATAAAATATGATGTGTGAAGTACAAAGTGCAGTAATCTAATTATTTTTACATATAAATATGATGCAGGCCTGCTCACCACACCACACAGTTTTTCCAAACACGGTGGAACTTCTCGCTGGTAAAGGTGCACATTGCCAAGTTTACCAAAATATAATAAAATTGATATACCTGATGGAATTGCACTATAGTTAGTTACCAATGACATTTTCAATAAGATTTATGTTATCATATTCAGACATGCTTCTGTGCAACCAATGGTCTTTTTATCCACAAGTTGTCATCATAAGTAATCATTTATTGCTCGGAGTTTACTGCTGTAGCTTCCCACATTCTAATTTATTGCTTGAAGTTTACTGCTGTAGCTTCCCACATTCTAATCAAATAAATTTTCCTTGTTCGTGTTAATCACAAAATAGCTGTTTCAAACACTCCAACAAGTGATCAACATCAACCATCACAAACACAACAACTTTATTCATTGTTATTGTACTATTAACAACCAACAAATTCTTGTCAACATGGACAAGCTCAGTGTCCAAAGCAGCAAGAGAAGTGCAATTGTGAAGTTCAAAATTGTGGAGAAGCTCTAGAAGAGACTCTTGGGGAGAAACAAAGAAGGGTCTGTTTCAAACTCAACATACATCCCAGAGAACTTGAAGGAAGGACACTTTGCTCTGATTGCTGAGGGTGGAGAGGAACAAAAGTGTTTCGTGCTGCCACTCAGTTAATTTTCCAAACCTATGTTTTTAAAGCTATTGGAGCAAGCAGAGAAAGTGTTCGGGTTTGTTCATGAAGGTTTAGTGACCATTCCTTGCAGGCCTAGTGAGGTGGAGAGGATACAAGGGCTCAGCAGTGGCATCAAGAAGCAACTCAAACTACTGATCTAAGAAAGACTTGTAGAAAAATCATCGTATTTTAATCAAACTATACTGTATATTCTGCTGGAATATTGAGTTAACTTTCTTTCCTGCACCTCCAGTCATTTCACTGTCTAATTAACTCTTCCACCAAGAGCTAATAAGAAGTGTTTGTTAAACAAATTAACAAAACCTATCTCAAAACAAAACTACATTATATATATATATATATATATATATATATATATATATATATATATGTATATAAAATTGCAGTTGTTAAAACTAAACAAAACAAAATAGTGACAACACAATATACAAATGTAATTTCAAGTCGGACAATTTTTAGATATGACGAAATTCAAAATACAAGAATGAGAGAAAACTTTCATCACGGCCAGTTTGAGAATCAAAAATTTCTAAAGGCTAGGGATCCCACCACCAGCACCACGCAATGCTAGGGTTCTACTCCTAACTAAAAAATAGAATAAATAAATAAAAATTCCAAGAATAAAAAAAAAAAAAAAACTGCTCATTCATGCAAAGGATTGTTGATGATCAGAAATTGAAAGTTGAACAACAAGCAATAGATCCAACAATGGAGTGAAAGCTGCTTACTTCAAACAAAGCGTCAAGGAGGAAGTCGAGGAGGAGAAGGTCGAGAAGTCTAGATCTACTATTGGTGCAGCGGTGGTCGCGGGTTGTGAGGAGGAAGAGGACTACCAGAGGTGGCGGTGGCAGTGGAACAGAGATTAGGATATTTGGTGGGGACGACCACCACACGAGTTTGGAAGAGAAGATGTTTAATTTAGAGTCTTGCAGATTTTAATATTTTTTTATTAATTTTCAATAAAATAATTGAGTTTAATTAAACTTTTAGGTTTTGAAAAACTTATTTTAATTTATAAGAAAAAAATTATTTTAATTTTTAAATAATAAATTTAAAAAAATAAATAAGTTTTTTCAAATAATTTTGAATATGAATTATGAGAATGACTTACACGTTATTCTATTTTATTTTGTAAAAATTTGATTGATGATATTATTATTATTTAAATATAATTGAATGAGTTAGGTTGATATAGTTCACAGGTATGTTAGAATGGGAAGTAGGATAATTATATTTTAATTAGATATAAAATGTTTTACTAATAAATTGTGTAATGAAATCTTGTAAGATTTTGTATGTATTTGAAAATTAGTTTGAAGAGTATTTTTGTAAGTTTCACATTTAAATATTTTGATCAAGTAAGAATTTGTCGCTTAAGTTAAATGTGCAGAGAGTTTTTTTAAAATATATTTTTGTTTAAAAGAAAATTTTCGAGTAAAATAAAAAAAATTGGATGTATTTTTCTCAAATAAAAAGGGTCTCATTTAAAAAATAAAATTCGCTCAATCAAAATTTTTTTTAGGTATTTTCTATTCAAACTTGAAAAATAAAATAAAAAGATAACAATAAATCTAAACTTCAAGTTAAACATTACATATATGTAAATTAAAATCTAAAAAATAAAGAATACAATAAATAAAAATTAGCTAAAAATAATATATATAAAAAAGTTATATATAAAAGAATAAACAAATTAAATCAGATAAACATATATGTTCTAATACATGTTACTAATATAAAATAAAATGTGTTAAATACTATTATATATATAAAAAAATATGTTTGATGCAACATAAGAAATATTATAAGATATTCATATATACAGGTATAATATATTTACGATAAATTATAAAATAATATGATAATATTATATATATATATATATATATATATATATATATAAATCTTAATTGAGTAAAAAAAATAACTCATAATAAAAAAAAATATGATTATTTATGTGAGACCGTTAAAATAGAGATATAATTCATAATTAACTAAAATTTATGTGATTGGAAATATTAAAGATGTCTTATTTTATAAGAATATTAAAATATATTATCATAATTCTATTTATCATTGAAATCATATAAATAAAATAATTAGGTGATGAAAATTGGTAACTGACAAATTATTTAAAAATTTTAAGTGTATATATCATATTTAACTTAAATTTTTCTGTATTTTAATTATAAAATGTTGTATGTTATAAACTAATAAAAATTTGCCATTATAATTTTAAGGATAATTATAACAAAATATAAAAATTTAATGAGTTATTTATCTTATTATTTTTTTTATATTCTGAACGTATACTGATGTTGTGATATATATATATATATATATATATATATATATATATATATATATATATATATGTTTATTATATAACCTAGTGATATTGAGAAAAATATATTTAAAAAGATAAATTCAATTAACACTAAAAAATAATTTAAAAAATTGAAAAAAAAATAAAAAAATAAATGATTAAGAAAAAAATTGACTTAATATATATACTGTTTAGTTATTAAATGATAATTTAACAATATTTTTAAATTTATTATATTTATTAGTTGAAACACAAATGGTTAAATTACGTGTATATGCATATTTTTTTTATACTTATTTTTTAAAATGTATTGTTTTTTATTAATTATGAATGATATTGTTTATATATTTATTATATTTTAAATATATAAATTATAATAATTATTTTTCTTTATATGTTGACTTTTTTGTTATAAAGAATGGTTGTAAAATTCTATTATATATAATTATAGATTAAAAATATATTACTTTTAAACATTTTATTAGAAAATTATTTTAACTTTCTCAGTTTGTAATTCAACCATGGAATGAACAAGTAAAAGGTTTTTGTATTTTAATTAAACCATTGAATGTTTGTATATAACAAGGCAACATATTCTGTAATGGAATCACTTCATGTTTTACACTAAGTATTACCAATCATTGTTGAAGAAGTTTTGAATATTCTTATATTTTTAAATAACTATATTTAGAATCATATTTAAAGTAATTATTGTAAACGTTAATAAATAGTTTATATCAATATTGTAATTATTTTTTCAATGTAAAAAACTATTTTAGAGTGTATATCGTTTATATCATTGATGTATAAATTATTTTGTCACATACAATAATTATGTGAAATATTTGTTTAATGATTAGGTGATACTTTTTAGAATAATCAAAATTATTTAGGATATTTACGTATTTAATCCATTCAGGAAAATTTTAATTTATGGTATTCATATGTATATAACTTGATCATATCTATAAATGAGACGTATAGTTATCATATTAATAATGTTTTTTATTTTTATATTTAAGATATTATTTATTTTAAAATTTTTATTTATCAGAATTTTATTTTTACATTAGTGATGGTGTATATAAATTAATGTTAATTTCTATTCTCCAGTTTAATAAGAATGTATATTTAATTAAAAAATTATAATCAATATTCACACCGATGAATTTATACCTTACTTTTTATTTGTTTAATGTGGCAAAATTAAAACATTTTATGTATTAAAATTTAAAACTCTAATACATTATTTTTTATCGAGAAATTCGACTTTAGTTTGTATGAATTATTCATTTTATTACACGTTTTGTATGGGATTAAGAAGAAAAAACTTATTTATTTTCTTTTAAAAAACTATAAATGAACTTCAAAGTTTTTTTTTTCTAATTACCCCTAAAACATATTTTACAAAAGTAATATGTAAACTATTTTAATTATATTCGCTGAGTTTTATAATTACTGCCTTAACTATTTTGAAATAAAACTGAATTATTGAATAAACTATTATTGCTATTAATTAAACCTAAATGAAACTCCTAATTTTAATTTAGGATGTGAAAGTATAGTTTCTTTCTGGTGTAGGAAGCAACTGATCTAACTGTACATGGCTGACCCCATTTTCATTATGTTTATATTCTCTCACTTTTCGTCCATTTCCCTCTCATCTCTTTTTCTCTCTTTTATTTTCGCTCTCTACAAAGGTCCCAATGGCGTCCCCGCCGGTAGTCAGCTTTCCGATCTTCACGGCGGTCAGGGCGTTTGGCGTCGCCATCACTGTTCTTCTCCTCACGTGGGCCCTTCATTTCCGGGGAGGCCTTGCTCTCGTCTCTGACAACAAAGATCTCATCTTTAACGTAACTTTTTTCCTTCACTGTCTTCTCTTTTCATTTGCCGGTGATGGGTATGCGTGATTTTTCTCATTCTCTTTTCGTTTTTTTTTCTTGGATTTTGATTTTGAAGGAAAACTGAAAAAGGGTGGAGTGGTTTTCGGTGTTTGATTGTGAATTTTGATGTTGTGCTGTTGGCTTCTTTTTTATAATTTTATTTTAGGTCCATGTTTGTGTGATTTTTAGCTTTGTTGTAATTGCTTGGTTTTTCCAATGTAGGTCCATCCAGTGTTGATGGTGTTTGGGCTGGTTCTAATCAATGGTGAAGGTAAATGTTCTTTTTTCTTTTACCTTTTTATTTATTTATTTACGTCAATGATAGTTCACTTTGTGCATATTAGCATATCTATGAAACTTTTTTGTAGTCATTGATCATATTTCAGTTGCATTGAAGAGTTGTTGTTGGATCTTTGTATTCAAATCAAATTAGGGTGTCCCTGCATTTCTGCAAATATTAGAAAACTCATTTGTCCATTGACATATGGTGTTATTCATGATTGTTGATTCATTCATGACGATAAAGTTGTGCTTTGGTGACTGGTTGGTCATGGGTTCGAATATGGAAACATTCTTTTGCACACACTTCTGATTCTAAATTATTTCAGTTTAAGGTTTTTCCATACATATTGAGGAGAATAATAATATACTAATTTTTGCAACAGTCTTAAATACATTCTTTTGAATAAGAAACAGAGTAATTAATCTGAGGACAAATTAGGAAGAAAAAAATTAATTCTTCATTGCAATATTAAATCATTAGTCAATTTTTTTTACTTAGCTAAAACTGTAGTCATTGTGTGGAACTGAAGGAGTACAAGAATAACGTCACGTGCAACATTCTCTCCTATACTATTTAGATTGTTGATTCACAATGTTTTTATATGGTTAGGGTATTTTAGGAGGTAAAGCATTCTTTGTCTTTGGTCTTGTTCACGTTTTGTGAAGACTGAGTACATGATACAACATGGTTTACCATATGACATTGATACAAGGATATAGAAAATCTTAAAAAGTTTAAGATATAATATGGCTTAGATATATAGGTGTGAGCATACATTTTGAAGAAAAAAACAAATCTTTATATGGATATACAATATTTGTAGGTGTTGACATTTCTCATTAATACATAATTCTAATAGCAGATTGTGATCACTATTTTCAAAAGCAATATTTGTGATCGTTACCAAGAACCAGAGTTAGATTTTACTTTTCCACTGCCCCCATATCAAAGTATAACCTTTCCCCCATGAACAGAAAAGATACATATTTTCCTAGTTCATGTTAGAATGTGACAAAAGCATCTAGGGGTATTGGTTCTACACAATTGCCTATACCTTACCTTTAAGGATAGAGGCAAAGAATAGAACCATAAGATTGGATGTTTGTGTTATTGCCATTCATGATTACTGTCCCTGATCTGCATGTGCAGGGATGCTTGCATACAAGAATCTATCTGGAACTAAAAGCTTCAAAAAAGCAGTTCATCTGGCATTGCAGTTTGTTGCTCTCATTTTGAGCGTCATTGGTATCTGGGCTGCTTGGAAGTTTCACATTGACAAGGGCATTGACAATTTCTACAGCCTCCATTCTTGGTTAGGCCTTGCATGCTTTTTCCTATTCTCCATCCAGGTATCATACCTAAACTTCATCATATAAGTTTTAGATAAACATCTCCGTAAGTACTTGTATATAAGAAGAAAATAAGAAAGAATAGTAAAAGAAAATTCTTTCATAAACTAAAATTAGCTTATGTATAGTTAAAATTAGTTATTTGGAGAAGCCAAAAATCATTCAACTTTTCCAAAGAGCTTATTTTAAATGCACAGGTTAATTTAAGCTTAGGTTATTTGTTTTTCTAAGTGTTTATGGAGAAACTTATCCAAACAGGGCATTTTATTTTTCTTTTGAACTTGGATTCTATCATTTTCATGTATCTAACTATATGCTAAAATGTTAATTAGTGGGGTGCTGGGTTTGCAACATTTTGGTACCCTGGAGGGTCAAGAAATAGTAGAGCAACCTTATTGCCATGGCATGTGTTCTTTGGTATGTATATCTATGCCTTGGCTATAGCCACAACTGTTACTGGTATTTTGGAAAAAGCTACGTTCCTTCAGGTGAACAAGATCATATCACGCTATTCCAATGAAGCACTTCTGGTTAATTCTTTAGGCATTTTGATAGTCATTTTAGGTGGCTTTGTGATTCTTGGACTTGTTACTCCAGTTTATGGTAAAGCTGATGTCATAAGGGGGAATGAGTAACCACCATATTGTAAACTATATAATTCAAAATGGAGGAACATGGACATTTGTGTATTATCTTTAGTAGAAGGTTACATGGATGTATGATTTCATTGAACGTGTATACAGGTTTAATATTCACTTCGATTTATTACTGTGTTTTGTCCTTCTACAAATGAGAATGAGTTAAACTAAAATGATTGCTTTAGTTTATTTATGCGATCAGTGGTTTATGCTTAAGATAGACGGAGACAATAAAAATTATTGATGATTTTTATGTTTGATAAAAGTAAAAAATTTTAATTTAAATTTTGAAGTTCTCCGTTCGAGCAAAAGTCACTTCCCAAATTCTGCTTTTCCTGAAGATTTAGCATCCTCCTGTTGAAGGTGTACGGCTGATTGTGAATCAAAGTAATTACAAACTATTATCGCGTATGTTTGGATGAGTTTTTTAAATAAGTATTTATAGAAAAGAAAAATAAAAAAAATTTATAAGTTAATTAATAAAGTAGTCTTATATTTTTAAATTTTTATTTTTAATTTATTGGAAAATTAATTGATTTTATATATTTTTTTGTTTTTGAAACAGTGTAAGAAAGTGCGTGAAAATAATTAGCATGATCTGCAATTTAAAATAGAACTGCATGTGATGTAGGTTGCCTGCCACTCTTTAAACTATTACATTAAAAATTCAATTTGAACATGTATTCTAATTGTATTTAATAATTCATTATTTTTTTACTTGATAAAAGGGTCCTGTTAGGGTATAAAGGGAAGAAGAAGTTAGGAAGATAGTTAGCATATTAATAAGTTAGTTAATTGCATAAGATGTTGTTTAGATATAAATAGAGTGTGAAGGATAGAAGAAGGGTGTGGATATTCTTTGTAAATTGAGCATTAGCTCTTTGTAAAAGGAGAAATCCTCTGTGAAGGGGAAACCCTTGGAGGAGAGTCTTCTCCTATTTCTTGTTCTTTTCATTCTATTCAATAAAGAAACTTTCTTTTATTTTTCTGTTTAATTCTTGGTTCCTAACAGGTCCAATATCTTTTTTTTCTAGATTCTATTTGGAAAAAACTAACGCCTTCATAGAATGGGATCGCCTGCACTTTTAAATTGCATTATTGCGAGCCATCACGATTAAGAATTAGTAATTATTATTCTGAATTAGGCATCTCTTTATCATTCCCAAAATACATTTTCATTGTGATTTTTTTTTTCTGACACCATGGAGCCGAAAGATTAAGGTGTGGGTGAAATAAAGGCCATGCAATCCAATGAGTTAGAAAATAGATCAGCAACATATAATAACAATGATTTTACTTTAATATTTTATTTTCATCTGATTCTAAATATTCACTTCCAAATCCAAGTTTGATCACCAAACACAAATTTATTCAAACTGTTTAGCTTCAAATTATACCTTGCAAACTTTTCCTTCACAAGCAAAGGGATATGAAATGACAACCACCGTGGCCAACGTTTTCAAGCAACAATTTTCTATGTTTCTGACAATTTGAGCAATTTATCAGTGACAACTTGAACCGTGGTGATGGTTTTTCATAATTACGGTACAGCAACCAGCGGGGCTAAGCACAACTACAAATTGCTAAACCAAAATTGTGACAATAATTATTCAAAATTCGTAGAGTAGTCTAAAATGAATTGTTACAGATGATGAGAATGCAAGGCTCAATCTTCCTGGAGAGGCGAAAATTTGCACTCTTCTCTAGGACAGGTGAATACAGACAGAAATATCCAAAATTTCGGAACAGGAAGGAAGGCTCATTACATTATTCCAAGGTCAGAAAACAATACAGAAACATGCATCCCAACATATTAGGCCTTCTAAATTGGGATCTTGCACGCCAATAAAATGGTGATGGTACACATTCCCGTAGTTTATATCCACACCTGTTCTCTCCCATATTCTCTTACAATTACAGGCACACTAGTGGGGGGAACCTGACAGTAAAAATGCCAAGCAAACATGTTTTCTTTGTAAGTCATCATGATATAAAAGTGAAAAAAAATGTAAAGGATAATGCCCTTTGATAATGTATATAAACAAAAGTATGTATTTCTTTCACTGGGATAAAGGCCTCTTTTGCAAGTTGTTACCGTCATTGAACTAGTTTAGATATTTACCTATATCTTCTAATGTCCCTCCTTGCTTCATTTCAATATTTTCCTATTCCTTATGTATATGTCTAATGAAAGAAAAAAATTATAAAAAATACCAAAAGTATTGACATGAACCGACAATCCTGAAAGCTTATCTTGTCAACACTCGGGAATGGTTTCTATACTGTATTATATCTCTAACACACTGACTAGCACGATCCTTTGGGGCTTCATGCCCATGGATAAAATGCACACACTAATTGACATCTAGCAATATTTAACTTTTTCTCAGAATAGAGAAGTGGATAAGCTATAGATCACTTGGTCACTGAGGCTAACAATCCCATATCATGATCTAATGAGCAAACAATCCCAAAAACTTAAGCTTGGTAAACATGTGAATGGGTTTTGTATAATATTTTATCATATCCTGAGACAGTATCTGCCCATTTTTTGTTATGATTTATTTTATTCTTAGGATTTTCAAAGTGGCATTTCATCCTCATTCAAACCATTCTCTAAAAAGTAGTTATACAGTATTTGTGCCCTCGGTACATGTACCCAAATACTAGTTAGAAACAATGAAAATTATAATAAAATCCTGAATCTGCATCATGTTTTAGCAGCAATGACAAAAATACTCTTATAAGATTTCAGTACTTACCATGCCATAATCTGTGACAATCATTGAAACATAATCTGAAGGTGTTGCATCATAACTGCCATCAGTTCAAACAAAAGTGCAATGTTAGAGTGAGGAGATGAGAATGTGGAGGGTATCGCATCAATATGAATGCTTACATCAGATTTAAGAGTTGCAGATTTTCAATATTGGCCCAGCCATCCAAGTGGTGGACATCCTCTCTACCCAAAACGTTTGAAATGACATCTGGATCACCTGTGAGAACATCATAGAAACATCAACCTTCATACAGAAATAATGGCAAAAGCTAACGGTGAACTGTTAACAGAACCCTCATCTTACACAAATGTTAAATATACTTACCAAGTTCATTAGAGCATATTGAATCCAGCTGTACCCGTTCATGAAATTTATAGGCCTCGCAACATACTATGACAGGTACACGGAATGCATGAGCCACCATTGCAATACATGCAGTCCCTACTCTTGAATATACTGTTCCATTAGACAAAACTGACGAAGCACCCAGAAACACTCGAGTAACTTCATGCATTATGTAGGAAACGGCATTTATATGAGTGTATGAACAGCTAAGACCTTTCTCCACCAGCCTGCGAAGCAAAAGTTGCCCTCTAAGCTTTGGGCGAGAGTCAACTACCACAACACGAAACTGTCGACCCAACTCATGTGCATGTAATAGTATCATTTCAACAGCTGATGAGGACCCATAAGTTAGAAGAACGTCACCATCTCTTATCTTGGTGACAGCATGTTTCACTATGACCTTGTTGGCAAGTATAATCTTCTCACTAATAAAACGCTCAATATCTGAAAGAAGAGAAGCTTTTGCTTCTGATTCAGACAAGTTCAAAGGTAGCTTGGCTATCCGACTTTTGAGAAACCTAATTGCATTTCCCATGCTGATTGACAGAGGTCGACACTCAATAAGATACGATACATAACTACTAACTTTTGCAGTTAAGTCTCTTACAAGAGTCTTCTCTTGTGGAACCTTGTAGTCTTTGATGGCCTCCTGAAATGCTTGAAGCATTGCAATACACCGAGCATTGGCACCAGATATATCTCCAGTTAGATACTGCAAACCCACCTGAAACATAAAAAAGGAAAGATCTTAAGATTTGAGAAAAATATTGAAAAAGGTCCAGGTCACAAAAATATTGACCCAGGTCCTAAAACTGTTCTACTAATTAAAACTAAAACACCATAAGTTTTAATCCTGAATTGGCTCACAAAGGGGTATCCGTTCTGCAAATGTATAGATGGCTAAATGCACTATACTTTCATGTGGATGTCAATCAACACAATTCTTAAGTTTCAGAAGGTATGATAAGCTAGATGATGAAGTGCAATATAACAGACAATGAAATTGACAATTGCATCAAGCAAGTTGCATAGATTCCTCTCACTCAGCAAAAATAGAAAAATTGATCTGTATAAATTATGCTACAGTACACAATCAAGTAGTACTTGATCTTTCTTTTAGTTGCTCCATCTTTTGGTATTGACAACTAAGGCATGAAGGAAGCACTGCATGGTGCCTGTTTTCTTGACTAATGGATTTAATTTTGATCAACCATCAATGAACCATATGATTCCATCTATTATTGAAAATGGCGTTCAGAGTTATTAGTGCAAGTGAAATACCTTGATGCATTCAGTTTTGAGATACTGCATTAAATATATCACTATAACCCAAAAAGAACTATAATATACAAACCAATCACCAAATAAATAGAATTGTAATAAGAGACAACATGAAAATGTAAATACCTTATAAACAGCTGGGTGCACTGGAGAAAGATGGAAAAACCTTGCCTCAAGATCTGGAAGCTGACTCCCATGTTCATATTGCGGCAAATGCCTGAACAACTCAACTCTGTTCCTAGCTTCAGTTTGTTTCACCACTGCACGACGTTTAGCTTTCTCCACTCGGCTCTTGTCATCATATTGCATGCGTGGTTGAGGAGCATCTTTTTTTCTATCCTTTTCTGGTGGAATCTCACCTCCTTTCTTTTCAGGTGCTGCAACTGCTGCATTTTCAATTTTCTGTGCAGGCTTTGCAGCTTTAGCCGGTTTGGCATTCACTGAAGCCGCAGTTCCAGATGCCTTATTTCCTTCAGCTAGAGACACATTTTTATTGAAGCTAACTAATCAGCATTATCACACTGAATTGTGCAGAAAAGTGACCCATGAAAGAATATCATAAATTCCCACTTTTAGGCATGTTAAGATCATTAGAAACACAGCATTAGAGTCCATGAACACTTAACAGTAGTTCCGACAAAGAATTAGTTATAAATACATATTCACTGATTGTAGATAATGTGTTCAGTGTAAAAGCACTTTCAGTCAGATAGCTTAAATACAGACTCAGGACACGTTATCAACTACACACCTTTCGCTGCAGCCTTTGCAGCTCTTTGAGCTTCTTGAAGAGCACGTCTTTCAGCTTTTGAGGTTTTTGGTTTCTGTTTTGAATTATTAGGTTGGTCTTTCACTTCCACTGCTGGCCCTCCTGCTCTGCTTCCTTTTTCTTTTTCTGATGGGGATTAAAGAGGAGGATGAAAAAAAGGGTAAAAGAATCAAGCCAAAAGTACAAACAGACTGTAGATGGAGACAACATATTTAAATTGCTGTCTTGAAAAAGGCATGCACATATATACACATTGATAAGAAGCAAGTTGCACCAATTCAGAACTTTTAATCGTACATTCAAGCTTGCAAATAGTCTAAATCAACACACGAAATCCAAGTGGATATTAAAAACATGTAGCAAAAGATATATTATATATTCAATTAAAAAATGTGAATGAATAAATAAATATAACTTCAACTTCTGTTCCAGTTTTTGTAAACATTACAAGAAATTCAAACAAGCTCCTTCTTTCTAAGCCTGGGATGTAATAGTCAAATTCACAAACTCAATAGAGAGTCCTTCTCTTCGTGAAACACGCTAATTACTTCTCAAAAATCTGATCCTATCCACTCTGGATCCTATCAAAGATTGATTGGCTATTAGCCCACAACTACAAAAACATAGTTTCTCACTAGCGACACAAAAGCTCAACTAAGTGCATGCTAGAGTTCACATTAAAATAGCAACTAACATGACTTTTGGATTCAGTGGGATTCACATTGAAATTCCAACAAGGTTACTGTTTGGTTTCAGTTTAGGATGCTCCAAACTCAGTTTGGAAAGTATATGCTTAGTTGCATAACATGTTTGGTTACTCTCAAAAGTTCGTTTAAACATTAGAAATTTGTCTTGCAACTTAAATTTGTAAAAACCAGACTTGTGCTGGTATTGCAAACCAAACTTAATCATATCGCAAAAACAATAATCCAAACATGCACTAACATATTTGAGGTGAATGTTTACATACATGTCTAGTTTCTATTGAGAAACTGATTGAGTCCAAAATTAATTGAGTTGAAGCAACTTTAGTGTTGGATTCAAAATTCTATACCAAAATTTACTATTAGTATCCCTTTCAAATAAAACATTCAAACATAAATCACATCTCTTCAGAATCAATTTTGCAAAATTTACTTCATTCAAATCAATAATTCAGTAAATGCTTACCTAATAGCACCCTATATCACTTAAACCATAGTTCCTACTTTCACACTAAACTCAACAAAAATTCACATTCAACGCATATTTCCACAATTTCTCATGCCAAACCGCTAAAAATTCAAACCTAGCTAGCCATTTACAAAAACCTTACCGGGAATCCCCAGCGAATCATTCACCACCGAAACCGTGGTAAGCTCGCTGGCTGGCACAACGACGCTCGGCGCCGCCGCCGCCTTCATCGCCGTCAGGTCGAATCCTCCGCGGGGGAACGACGACGCCGACACCTTCCCGCCGTTCCCCTTGAAAAAATCACCGGAAATCCTGCTGGAGTACGATGACGACGGAAGCGCGGGCGACAGCGGCGCGGGGAAGAAGTCCCCAGAGTCAAAGGAAGTTCCGCCGCCACCGGAGTCTGCACGGAGTGGAGAGGCGGCTGGGGGCGCGTGGAGGAGGAGGTTTTCGGACAGGTGGCGCGCCGGAGGGATCATGACCGGCGAGAGGGAGTTGGAGATTTGCGGCGATGAGTGGGTCGGGTCGGGAGGACCCGATTGGGAGCGTTCGGGCGGGGCAAAGAACCCGACTTGGCGGAACTTGGGGATGGGGTCGATCACGGCGCGTGGGCCGCGGCGAGAGGGATCCATCGAAGAAGAAAGGAAAGTAGGGTTTACGACAGAGAGTGAGTGTATTTGGATGGAAGGAAAATTTGGAAGGTTTTTCTTTTGTTTTCTCGGGAAAATTTTGAGGGATTGGAATTTGATGAAGTGACGGAAAGTGTGAAACTGTGAAAGCACTGACGCAGCGCCTTGCCTTCTTTCCAGCCCAAATCAAAAATCAGATCCTTGTGATGATGCAAAGATAAATTTATTGGATTAGCAATCATAATTAACATTTTTTATAATTACTACTAATAAGTTTATATTGAAAAATAACATTTTTAAGATTTGAATTTCAATATTATATAAACTATGAAATAAACCATGTTGAAAATATACGTTTAAATTTTTTACTACATGCGGAATGAATAAACTCCTGTGGTCACTTTAAATCGATCGAATTAGACATTCATTGATTTAAATAATTGAGTTTTAATTAAATTAAGATAAAATTAAAAAAAATTCGAATTTTTAAATTTAATGGATTAAAAAAATTAAAATTATTTTTTAATATATATTTTTTATAAAATATAATATATTTTAAATTTTGTATCTTTACTTAAAAAAATAATTATTTTATTATATTCTTTTTTTATTTTAATAATTATTTATCTTATTTTTTAATATATTTTGTATTTATAATTATTATCATATATTATTTTTTATTATTATTCTTTTAACATATTATTATTAATAAAATTATTATATATTTATTATATTATAAAAATATGATTTTATTAATTTGGTTTGATTTCAATTTTCAGTAGAATTTTTAAATTCTAAATCCATATTTTCACTTGTTTATATTCTATTTAAAAAAATGATTTTCATATTAAAGTTAAAAATATAAAAAAAAAAGTCATTATTAATCTTGACGCCGCATTCTACTCATTATTAATGAATTAAAAGGTATTCTATCTAAGTGAAGGATAAAATTTAATTTTTCCTCTGAAATTTTTAAATTTCATTTTAGTCTTTTAGAAAATTTTGACTGACTAAAATATTTTGGCACTTAATTATTTTATTATTCAAGTTTTTTTACATATTTTATAGATTAGTTATGAAAATTTTCTTTATTTTAAACCTCAATGAGTTTCCAAGGGATACAAAGTGTACGGATAGATAATTTTTTTTTAATGATTTTTCAGAATAATAAAGTTATATTTCATAAAAAAATTATTCATATGACTTTTTCAAACCTTTTTCTTGGTAAAATTTTGTTCTGAATTCAATATTTTAAAACTTAATATATATATATATATATATATATATATATATATATATATATTCAGATTTATTCATCTAAATTTTTTTAATTCGAAATACTTTAAAACATATTTTCAGAATCACTAATTTTGTAAAGTTAATAAAAATATTATTTTTTAATATTAATTAAAATATAAAACTTTAAAATTAATTATTAAATTTAAAAATTAAAATTATAAATATTAATATAAGATATAAAAGGTGGAATATAATGAACCCTCGTTCCCCAGATAAATACATAACAATTATAAGTTAATAAAGTAAATTAATTTGACACAGTCCAAAAAATTTGATGGGCCATTGATTTTGTAAATTTGATGAAATTAATAATAACCCACGTAATGAATTCTTAAAAAAAAAAAAAAAAATTCTTTGATGATTAAAAAGTTGAATCAAAGAGAGGAGAAGGTCAAATCACAGTGAGGTTGGTCAAACTGTGTTAAAGGAGATGTTGATGATGTCCTATGCCTAGCTAGGGTTCATTGTGATCCACTCACACGTACCCTCGTACAATTTTATTCTTGGAAAATATTAAAATATTGATTAATTTGCATGTAGCAATGGTCAAAACAATTTAGTGGCAGTCAATGAACACAGGCTATATCATAGTGGCAATCATTTTTGCATGTCAAATTATAACCTTCAAAGTTGAAATTTAGAAAGTAAGAACAGGGTTTCTATGCTAAGAAAATTCATTATCTTTTATTAAATTAGCTAATACTTTAAATAAAAAATAAATTTGAAAAACCCGGAAAATTCAACTTTATATTCTATCCATTATTTGGATTGGATGAAGTTGAAAACAAAATAAAATTAAAATCAGTTGAGTTCAACAAAGAAGAATGAAAATGAGTAAAATTAATTTTTTTATCAATGTATATTTTTTAAAATTTAGTAAATATTATAATAAAATAAATAAATCTTAATAGAAAATTTATAATTTGAATAATTATATTATATTTTTCATTTTACTTTACTTTTTATACAAGAGAAAAAAACTTTTTTTTTCTTTTATTTCGTACTTTCCAAATTTATTATTAACATATAAAATTGTCTAACAAATACTTAAATCATACTATTTTATACAAGATATTCCACATGAAACTTTCAATATATCTTCTCTTAAGAAGTGAAGCCAAAAAATACTTTTGAACCACGATAAAAATACAATTCTTAATTCAAAACATCAACGAAAAGTTAAATTTTATTTTAATTTTGATATTATGTTAAGATCAACATAAAATCAATTAATAATATTTAGCAGTTATTTAAATCATATAATCGTTTTACATTATTTATCTCTTAATCTAAATAATAAAACACTTTAACCTATCTATTTATTGTTTATCCACATGCAGTTTATTTTCATAAACAAACACTAATGTGAAGGTTATTATATAAGTGAAACTAGTTTAAACTTAATACTAGAAAACTGGTTCAAAATTTGTGCTAATTGAGAATCCAAATGAACGAGGGTTGATTTATGTGGCTGTCATGACTCCGTTATGTTGGGTACAAATAATAATATTAATGCATTTGAATGAAATGACACATATTCCAAAGACTATGGCAAATCACTATCACTGATTTGATGATCTAAAGATGCAGTTCTAAGCATTTGAAAACATATACATGATAACTTTCTGTCTCTTTAGACTAAAGTTATAAACTTAAATCTAACATGAAAAAGCTTAATTGCTGTACTAATTGCCAAGTACATTGAGTTTAATGGTAGTTTATTCAATCACAAATCACTATTATATATTCAAATTGGATGAAGTAGGTTATTGCTGATACTGTGGTCTGCATGATTACTTTATGCGATAATTAAGGTCCAGAATTTGAAACCTGATAATGCAAAGGGAACCTTGAGATTCTGCAGCATATGCAAGGAAATGGTAGTGCATAAGAGGGACAGGAAAATAGCTGGAGAAAGAGATGTGTCATGGAGTAGATTTCATATTCCAATGATGCTGTAATCTATGCACCCATTTCTGATGAAGCCCTTTAGTCTCTGAGTGATCATTTTGTAAGATTTGTTCACATTATAATATTGGATTTTCTGCTCTTCTTTGCAGCACTCTACTGCATAGCAAATATTATTTTCTTGCCCAGAAATACCCCAGAGGAGTAAAAGAAATCAAAATTATTGTATGGCAATGATGTTTCTGCGACTCATTGAACACAATATCTTACTCGATAAAGTACATATACAAGTTTTATTTAATGTTTAAGATTGTACATGTTATTAAAAAATAATAACTTCTCAGATATACATAACTATCATATTTTCCCCATTCATTTCCATGACATGTGTGAAATTTAGTGGCCGGTTACATATACTAATTATATCAATAGCTTAAAGTGAAGTTAATTAATCTTAGTTCAGTATATACTTAAATCAATCATCATTTAAAAATTAAGATTAAGAATAGTCTATACAAAAATCATTTTTCTATTAAAAAATAATAAAATTAATGATAGATTAAAATTTTAAAAACAAATAATATGCTAAAAAGTTATTAACTCTAAGATATTAATATAATAAATTTGAATTTGAGAGATTATATGTTCCGATGTACACTTATGTCTCATCTAAAAATTGAAACTAAAAATAATTTATAAACATGATTTTTTTCTTAACTCACTGGAAAGGTTTTTTAAAATCAAAATTATGATAAAGTAAAACTATTAAATAATGAGATGATTAATCTAAGTCGAGATACTCCTCTAGAACAAACTCATTTTTATTTAGAATAAATTTGACTTATAAGAAAACTTTACCCCTGAAAACAACATACTACATTTCTCTCGATTTGCTTACAGATACTAACAGTATATAGTGATCTTTCTTAATCAACACTCATTCCTATTTTTCTTTATACACTTAAACTTCTGAATCAACACCTATATTTTCATTACCCCTTTTGCTTTTTCTGCATTTTCTTCAAAAGGGTGCAAGAAATTGTTTTTGTCATAGTCAATAATAGTATTTTATAGTTGCTGCTGCATACAGCCCAGAGAGAAAGCCCAGGGAGAGAGTGACGTATGATACTGCAACATCTGCATCCCATGCACACACACACACATTAAATTCTCTCTCTATTTCTGAATAAATAGTAGCAAATAGCTTCCAACATGACATCAAAGGCTTGCAGAGTACTAGTCAGATCTTATTTTTATGCAATAGAACCTAAGAACTACTTCACTTTACTCACTTTCTGCAAACAAACCTAACATGCACACACATTTCTCTCTCTAAATATAACATCTATGATCTATCTCTCTCTAAGTTGTATTTTACATATGTAAATTAACACAATCACAAACACACCCTCTTACCCTTCATTTATCTCTCAGTGTCTCTACTCTCAGGGTTATGCATTGCTACTTAATTTTCTTCTGTTCTTGGAGCAGTGATCTTGTGTTGAGCCATGTTGCACACGCACTCACTCTCTGGCTGTGATAATGAACACTATATGATCTGCTGTTGCTCTTGCTGTGTTCAACAAGTTCTTCTTTCAGGTAACTATTTGTGGCTTCTCTCTAGCTAGATCTGTCTTTCTCTCTTTGTGTCTTCGGTCTGGTCTATTTGTCTCTGCATTAACAACTTGTGCTTCTTTCTTTTGTTTCATATGTCTAGTCACTGTTTGATAAATAGACCATGTTTGTCTCCTTCATAATCTATAAATTCGTTTAAAGATGATGCATTTCTACTGAAAAGATTAATAGTTTTATTTCTTCTAGAAAAAAACTTCTACTTCATAAATTGATACAAAATGATAAGTGTATGAGCTTTGAAATTGTTTTTATGACAGTTAATACATTAATCATTTATGGTTGTTTATGATAATCTTTGAACTATTTAACTGTGAGCATAATACCATAATATATATATATATATATATATATATATATATATATATATATATATATTATTCTGATTATGTGCAATTCTATATTTGTAGGATGTAATTGATACACATCAATAATTCATATAATAATTGTATAATATATTTTTTATATTTCTTTATTTTTTTACGTATAATTCATAATATGTAGAAATTGTAAAATATTATCATAAAAATTATTACAAGAAACAAATAATATTTCAAGTATTATATTCCCTTACAAGTAAATAATTATTTGACGAGAAATTAATCTTTGAACTTCAACATAAAGTTGTCTTAGAAAAAACTCAATAATAATAAAATTTAACAAGAAAATATTTCAGAAATCTTAATAATAGGAAACATAAAAAAAAAAGTTTATTTTTTTATGCACTAAATTACAGGACTTTATACATTTATTAATCATAATGAGAATTTAACTTAGCCATGTTGTTACCCTCTCTATTTCAAATCTTTTCTTTCGTCACTTATGAATTGGAAGACATTGATTGTATTGACTTTTTGAATGATTGACTCAGATGATGTGGAAGCGAGCCATGTAAAAAGTTTACTGCAATCTAGGTCAGAAATCATTACCATTTTCATTTTTCTTCTGCTTTTTTATGCAAATTTTGTATTATAAATCCATTCTTTACCCTAAAGAGAAACATATTCTAATCGGGAGTTTTGTAATCCCATTTGGTTTTTATTTATTTTGCTAAATATAGGTAGTTAATCAACAAGACAACGATGGGACATATTTGCTGTGGATTTTTGTCCATTGATGAGGTGCAACCACCTTTGAGGTAACTCCTTTATGCCTTCAAACATTGTTATCATGAGTTTATTTCAATTTCATGTTTGTTTTGTTTGCTTATACATTGTCATATAATTGTTGCTGCAATTCTTAAAAGTTTGACTTTTTCTATTTATTCTACCAATTCTTAAAATTTTTAATTGTTGAAAAAAAAACCTAATTCTTCTATATATATATATATATATATATATATATATATATATATATATATTAAGACGAAATATGGATATCCTTAAATTTATATAGTTATAATAATTTGAAATATTATTTACTTTAAAATGTTAATTTATCACAAATTAAAATACAAATAGATGATTAAGAAAAAAATATATATAAAATATTTTTTATCTTGATTTTTAAATTATATATATATATATATATATATATATATTAAAAATAGATAAAGGATGTGAAAAATTTCACCCAACCTTCTTTAAATTCTACAAAATACAATAAATTAATCTAAATTTCTCCGTTAGAATATAAAATCACAGTTGAAACGTAAAAATCTTAAAATAAACTATTACCATCAAAAGCACATGGAACTAACATAAAATTAATTCATAGTTTACATTTCTATAAAAGGTTTGGTGTGGTTGTATCATCTATATATTATTTTTCTTTTACTAAAAAAAAACAAATTAATAATTTAAAAATTTGAGTTTTAGGATATGGTTGGGACATGATTGTTTCCAATAATAAATAAATTATATATATATATATATATATATATATATATATATATATATATAAAAGGAATACATGCTATAAAGATTTATTTTTAAGAAAAAGAAATTGTTGAAAACGGTTGGAAGAAGTATGAATTGCAAGCATGAACTTAGCATATGAATAGATAGACCAACAAGAAGACAAGTTTTGAGCAAAAGAAGAAAAGCAAAAGAAGACACGTTCCATGGCCCCTACTCTCATTGCAGAAATCACAGAACCAAATGATTAATGCAAGTTGTGTATTTTGGTGGAAGAGACCCCCCAATAAGAAAAGACAGAAGAAAAAAAAAATCAAAATCTATTTGAAAATAAAATCAATCAAAATACCTTGTTACTGGACGTGAAAATTTAAGGAGAGGAGAATGTGTAGAGAGACCTGTAAGAGATTCTGAACACTTAGAGAGCCAATATATGAAATAGAGAGAAGAGTATACTGCGAGTGAATTCACTGAGTGGAATCATTCTTGTTTGTATAGGATGGATTATCGTAACTATTCATATTTATTTTTTATCTGAGAAATATTTTGGGGTAGTTTCTGATATATTTGGTCAACTTGGGTGCTCAGTTAAATTAGGTGCTCGATCAAATAAGGTGTTTAGTCGTGTTAAAATATTCAAATATTGTCGAAATGTTCAGACATTTTCAAGATATCTAATTTAAATTATATGATTTAATTAATATTAATGTAATTAATCTAATGTTAAATTATATATATATATATATATATATATATATATATATATATATATATATCAATATCATTTTAGAAACTAAGTTAATAATATTGTTAAATTCAAACTTAAATTATAGTTTTTATAGAACTTATTAATTAAGTTATATATGCTATTGGAGTGTTAGTGGATTAGTCAAAGCAAAACGTTAAACTCTGTATATCATAGAATCCAACTTAAAACAATATTGCTATGCAAAACATGAACAATATGCACATACAAATATTGTGCATGAAAAAAAAAAATTCAACTTTTGAAAATGAAAAAAGAAATAGATAATATTAGAAAATAGTTATAACACTAAAATGTATATTGATAGAGTGGGTGACTCATCATGAAATGACGTTCATTGTCGCCATCTTCACTTGTCCTATATTTATTATGAACAAGGGTGAATTGTTCAGCTTCAAAATTAAGATATGGTAAATTGTAAATTATAATTTATATTTTTGAGATAGACAAGGGTCATCATATTAAAAATATTAATGCTTAATTTAAATTTCACCTTAAAATTTATATCTTTATTATATAATATAACTCCATGGTGTAAATATTTTGAAAATCGGATTAGTGATTGAAGTGATCAAAATAAATTTAGAGTTAGTGATAATCAAATATAATAAAATTATATTTTTATAATATAATAAGTATATAATAAATTTATTATTAATAATAGTTTTTTTAAATATAAAAATTATTATTATAAATATGATAAGTTATAATGAAAATTATAATATAAAATACCTTAAAAATGAAAAAAAAATGATAATATAACTTGGTTCTCACCAAATTTTCATTCTTTGCACATCTAACATATCATCAATCAAACACACAAAATAAAAATTCTGATTGCACTATATTTTTAGGAATAGATTTTGAAAATATATGTAATATAATTATGAACAAGCAAAATATTAAAGGGATATTATGACACTGTCATGATCATTGATGCCCCTAACCTAACATTCGTTTCATCTAAGTTATAATGAATGAAAATAATAGAAAATAATTAAAAAAAAAAAATACAAAACAACACCATAATAAACAATCTTTTCAACCATGTTTCATGGCTATATTTTTCAACGTTAAATATTTTTTCTTACTTTTCATCCACCTTAGTCATCACTAATCTCTTTGAACCCTAGTCACAACCAAATAGCACAGCCATGCATGGCTATTCTCATCAAATTCAAGGAACAAATCCCAAAAGTTACGGCAAAAATTCAAGGTTGAAATTCAAATCTATTTCTGCAACTCAAAAAAAAAAATAAAAAAAATTTCCCACTAAAAGTTACCTTCATCATTAGGATGATAGGGTTTCAAATATTGGTGATAGAATTGGGGTTGCAAAACAATGGAGAGTATTGTTTCATTTTTCTTATATCATGTGTTCAAATTACTTGAATCCAATACAACTCTGAATTGATTATTTTTATCTTTAATTTTTTTTTTAATTCTACTAGTTGTGTTTATTTTTTAATTTTAATTTTTGTCCTTTCTTCCTTCATTCTTTTGTTAATATTTTTTATAGTTATTATGTGTTTTGCTTTTGTCATATTTATTATGTAATTTTTAAATCATACGCTAAGTAAATAAATTCACAAGAGATATATAAAGTTATAAATGTAAAAAATATTAAATGGTGAATGTTACGAAGATCAAATGTTAATATGATAGAAAACATTATAAAGGGTATAATTATTGTTTTATTTCGAACTTCAATAATGAGGTTTATTTTTTCCATGGATCATTTTCACAACAGAGGCTACAAATTGTTTGAGTTAAGAAGTTGATTTGAAATTATAATAAATAACAAAGAAAAAAAAATACAAATCATGAAAGGACTATAACACACTCATGACTACACCAAGATACAAAATTAACCAAAGTATAGATCCCACTATATCATTAAGAATAATATATAATTCAGGAATTGAGATTAAAAAATAATATATATCAAGAAATGTAAATAATATAATAGGAGAGATAATTATTGTCATATTTCAAACTATTGATGCATCAAACATAGGTATTTAATTAAGCATGAAGTTGGTGGAGAAGTGACTGATTTGGAACAAGTAGGAGAGTAGGTGGGGAACTAGATAGAGCTTATTAGCCTTTGATTCATTAGGATTAATCCAAGTGAAAGCTATAGAAACATTTTCTCTCCTATAATTCACTTTTGTGGAAAGATTTTTCTTTCTAAATTCTAATGCTCCCCTCATATATTGTGATTGTTTTGGCTTTTCCTTTTGAAGGGAAAGTAAAAATAAAAAATAAAAAATGCTACCTTTTTTACCATGAAGTAGTCACCGTAGACACTCCTATGCAACCATTTTGGCCTTCACCAAGATGAATCAAAAGGAAAAACAGCAAAAATGGAAGCAACTTTTCCAAGCTTTCAATCTTTGATGAAAAAGCTCCCTGACAAGTCTACTATTTAAACAAAGAATAAAATCAAACAAATATAGTTCAAAGTTCTTTTCTTTCTATCAAATTAAATCACATGTTCCATTCATTTTTTTATTTTTATTTTTAGTAACGTAAATTTACTCCCATTTTTTAATTTTCGAAACTTATATATGTTTGTTTTTTTCAACGTAAATTAATATTGATTATATGTGATTATTCACATAAGATTTTTATGTTTAAACGTATCCCATATTAACATCATATTTATATCTGATATATACACTGGTGATTTATGATACAATTAACTATAGGTAAGTAAAATTATCAAGCACACTTATAAAATATAAGATACAAATTAAAATTATAGGATTAATTACAACACTTTTTTTAACTCATTTTAGTATATCTCTAAATGAATTGAAAATTTTATTTTATTTTGTCAAGTATTTTAAGATAATAAATGACTTTATGAATGTTTTGACTATAGACATGGTAAGTATATAGTTATGTTTAACAGTGGGTTGCGTATATTATGTGTAGTATAAAGATCTAATCAATCTTTTCGTATCAACGAGTAGAGTATATTATTATGATGAATTACACCAAAGTACTAGCTACTATATTTGGTTCTAACGTGTTTGGTACACTAACACATGATAGTACAAATCACTTTTCAACAAACCAGAACCTCCATGAACTCCACTCATGTTTACTCATTAATATTCTCAGCCACCAACTACTACCATCCCTTGAAATTCATTTCTATAATAGATTCTACACCTCTTTATAATAGTAATAAAAATTATGTTTCTACTCATAGCTCACTTTTTAAAATAAGTAATAAAAATGAAAATATTAACAAGATTTTTAACTGAAAAGTTGTTAACATTTAATCCTAAAAGAGATTTTTCTACGCGGGGAGAAGAAGTTCTTTACTAAGAGAATGAACACTTTATTTATAGAAGTTATTATAGATAAGTATTTATAGATAAATTGATAATAACTCAATAACTAGTAATAATATCAATAATATATTTTACCACTGTAATTAGAGTAAACATTAGAAAGTGAATTCAACTATTTGGGGTCATTGCATTTGTATGAGTTAAAATATAAATATTTCTCATCCTCTAAACAATAATAAAATATGCTGCATATAAAAACCATGAATTTAGGTGAGATTTCAATTTATGTGGGTTGCATTAGAAAGAAAAAAATTTTGTTAATATTGCATTCTCAATTTCTAAAATGACAAATGTTTTGAGACAAACAAACACTCATGTAGACTTATAATTAATATGAGAAAAAAAAGAGAGTTGTGGGAGGCCATTGATTGTGTTTGGATAGGCATAAAAGGTATCACCATGTGTGCAAAAGAAGCTCTTGAAATCTATTCTTAACATGTTATAAACAAGGGGTTGTGTATGTATGGCCAAAGAAGGAAGCAAAATTGTTCCATAACTAACAAAGTGTGTAGTTTTAAGCCTAATGCTAAGCACTTAATTGAGCAAGTAGAATTATTGTAGGATTATAGGTTTAAGTCCCCATCTTGGTCTTCTTCAAAGTTTGCATAAGTCTTTTTCAATTATGTTGTTCACCATGATTTTTTTTTTTATTTGTATCCTTCTATAGGGATTAATCTCTTAAATATGGTTAAGCACTAAAACCATGACTATGTAGTAACTTATAACCAAAAATTAGAACAAAAGAGTGAAATTATAGAGAAAATACTAATTAAAAATAAATTTTTTAATATTTTTTTTATCAATTTCTCTTGATTTGTGTAAATCCAAATCAAATAAAATATTATTTTTATTACAAATGAGAGGGTGCATGTATAACACTGTTAAGGTATTATCTTTTTAATTTTAATTTTTAAGAGAAAAAATATATATAAATAATTATTAATTTTGAGTCTTAATATGAAATTTATAAATTATTAAAATATAACTTTTCTTAAGGAATATGTAAAACAAGATTTTATTTTCGACCCCACCTTAAAAAAAACAGTATACATGTTTAATCAAATCTGTCAATAGAAAAAATTAACATTTTGAATAAATAATAATGGAATTATCAACAAGAACAATAAAATGCTTAGGTACTTCAAATGATAAACTCTGATATATCTAAAATTGAAAAATTGATTCAAACCTAATGGATTTCTTCGTTGTCTGGACAGATAAACAGATAGAGACAGAGGGAGCAAAGGAGGGACAAAGGAAGTCAATGAAGAAAGGGATAGAGAAAAAGGTTAGTTTTATTAAAAAGCTATACATATTGCAAGGTGAAAGTAGAAGAAAAGTAGATCCAGAATTGATTTAAAGTTTGCATGTTCAAGTATATATGAAAAAATTATTAAATTTACAAAAACATTTTCTTTTTCAATTTAACTATTAAAGGTAACTAAGTCATTCATTACAATTAAATTAAAATACTTACAGTATTAAAATAAGGAGTAACTTAATTTCTCGTATATATATATATATAATCTAGTTATAAATTTTGCAGGTTTAAAATTCTAGGGACAAGCAATTAATGAATTTTTACCTTGGCACATGACTAATACAACTATAGCTATTCTTATATACCTTTTTCAACTTATGTTCAAAGCTTCCAAATATTAGTATACATATAGTGGAATCTACATTTTATGGACAAATTAAAACTACAAAACAAGAGAAAAAGATATATATTATTGATTTTTCAAAAGCAATATACACTGAGTAATTAAAAAAATAAAATAAAATAAAAGGTTGTGGATTGATTTTTCTAGTCAACTTGTCCACCTACATTACAAATATTTTGTAAAAGAGTTTTAGTGGTATATATATATATATTTTTTTTGAAAATATATGATTAATGGATAAGAAGTGCTTGATTTTAGAGATGAGTAATAATAATCATTCATCTGTCCAAAAAGGAATTAATTGAGATTAAAAGAAATAAGGGAGAAAAATTAATGTGTGATTCAAACCCACATTCTCGTAATCATTCATCTTTTCATTTTCCACTCCAACTTGTAAATTTTACACACGATCGGACCCAACTTACAAAGCAGAAGCACATGTGTGTAGGCCATTTGAAAACTCTTGTGGCACTTACAAAATTGTGTTGGGACCAAATCAAGTGTTTAAGTGCGTGATGTTACGCATGATTTATCTAATTCATTTACGTAAACTTTTGATGAAAAGAAAGTACAGAAAAAAAAAAAAAGGAAAAAGAAAAGTCATTTCATACTTAAGAAACGATCGAACCTAACTATTTTGCATATCATTGAAAAGCTTCTCCACCACATTATGTATCATATGATGATGAATTCTTCTTGTTTAATAATTGAGTACCGTCTCTATTGGAAGATCTACTCAATATCTTGCAGATGCTCAAACTAAACAGTGATTTGGAACACTAGCTTCTGCAGAATTTGTCTGTGATCATTATTTCATCAAATATGTTTCTCTGAATTTTATGTATGAATGTTTATATATATATGTGTATACCATCGATACTATTAAAGATTATTCCATCTATGCAATTATTGATTCCATCTATGAACATTAACCTGAAGAGTTTTACACTCCAAGACAGAAGTATTAATTTCGGCAAGTTGCTCTTCATCTTGGTTTTTTCATTAGGCCAAGTTTTTACCAAAGAAAATTTAAAATTACACAAAGCAAAAGATAATCTCAGCCACAGCTTTATCTAATGAGGCTTGTATATATATGAGACTCTTTATGTTTGCATTTTTTGCAGTTGAATTGAGAATTTAAGGGAAAAGAAACTTAACACCAGTTTGTACAAGTAGAAAAGAATCAACATTAACATCAAAATTAGGGAAGTCAGTGGAAATCAAATCATATCAATGAAAGTATATGGCCTATCTGACATCTCAGACATTGTCTTGGGCAACAATATTAATTAAATATAAATGTTTTTCCATTTGATTTTGTTGAAGATACAACCCACTAAAAAGTTAGACATCAAATAAGAAAAATATCAGAATAGAAAAAACTTCTCAATTTCTAAATTAATCTGTGGAGACAAAATTAATTGTCAAGACCTTTTATACATGGACTCATGAGTGTTAATCGCACAATTAATGCTATAATTAATCTCTTGGTGACAATGTTCATATACAGTTGGAAATTCAGAAATTCATATTACTCCTGGGAAGAAACTCATCATGCATTTGTTACACCCAAGTGATCTTGTATAAGCTTCGAAAGATGATCAAATATGCAAGCTTTCAGCAAAAGATTCAATTGGTGTAAAATATCACCTTTTCTAATTGTTGGTATTTTTTAGTAGTTAACCTTGTGGTATATAGGGCCATTTCTGCCATGATAAGCATCATAGAGTTCAGAATGGTCCATAAATATATTCCAAACACTACCGAAAAGAGATGAAGATCTTCTCTTGAGCAAAAAAATTAGTGGAGACACAATGAGACAACATGAAATTATTCCCAAACACCATCAGAAAGCTCAAGTTTCAAATATGTAACACTGCTTAAAATGCATGCTGCATCAAATAGACATAAACCTGAAGAACATGATGATTGCGATGTTAATGGTGGTACACACGAGTAGAAATACCTGTGTCCATTCCCATACTTAATTATGTAACAGTTACTTCAATCTCTCCATGCATTTAGAAAATTAATTAATATATCAACAAGAATCAGATTATTTAACTTGACATAGCTGCTCTAAAAATAAATGTTCGAGAAAAAGTAAATCAGAATTATTCAGAATTTCTCTATGATTTTGACAATATTATATGATGTGAAAATTTTCTGTATTTTTGTTGAGTTTCATTTGTATGCAATGTAATCTCTTCGTGCTCAGAAAATCAGTATATTTATTCACAGTTTAGTGATTAATAATGCAAATCAGGAAGTGCATGCTACATCACTAGCTCAACTACAAATAGAAGTTGAAAAACCATGAGATTTCTTGTGTACCAACTCCTCTTGCAACAAGGTGTATAATAAAATTTTTAATAACAAAGGAATATATAAATGAGTCACTGTTGAACGATCTTAACTAAAAATATATATATAAATATTTAAAATCTGATGGAAGGGACAGTTTCTTGATAACTAATTGGCATTGTGTAATGCCAACCACACTTTAAATATTGGTCAGAAACCAATACACGCAGCAGCAACCTTTGTGCCAACTGTCAGACGCCATTGGCTGATGATGAGAAAGAAGATGAGGTACAAACATTTTGTGGAAAGGGAATATAGGACAGAAAAGTAACTGGTTGAAAACACAGAAAGTTGCCTTCATATGATGGCTTGGCAAACCGGTAGAAGAGTTTCATTCGAATCAGATGATACCGAAAAATACAAAAGGAAAAAGAAAAACTAACACACACACATACAATCTAGTGTAAACGTGGATTGGTGCACTCCTCCCAAGACTTTCCAAAGATTTGAAGCCCTGAAAATTGAAGACTTATAGAACTGTGAATATCATCAAAATAGAAGGTTTCAAGAAGAGCACTTAGTTAGCACTACAGTATCATGTTCATGAAACACATAACAATTACACATACCTGTGGATAGATTCATGCTAGCTATGGCACAGAAGTTGGAGCGGCCAGTGGATCCATTAGCATCCCAATTTGGAGATAAATTGGAGAAGGGGTGGTACTCACTGTTGTTGTTGTTGTTGAAACATGGTGGTTCCTTCGGGATCACAAGGTTTTGGTGATGGTGATGAGAAGAGGACATCAACGATGGCTTCAATTTTCTCTTGATCACAATGGATTCCTCAATAACGTTGAAGTCATCTCTAGGTGCTTCCACAAGGTGGTGAGGGTGAGTGGGTGACCTTGATTGATGCATGAGTTGAGAGTGGTTATTTTCAATTGCAGGGCACTTTTTCTTCAAGTCTTGTTGCACCCTCCCTGTGTTGGGGTTAACATTGCACATAATCTTGTTACTAGTCCTTTCCCTTGCTCTTGCTCTTGCTTTCTCCCTTGACTCCTTCAATTTTGCAGGTTCCTTCTGTGTCCTTTTCAACTTCATCCTCTCCCTTGCAGCCAGCAATGTCGGTGACTTGTTATCACTTGAATCTAACCCTTGTTGTAGGTTGCGTGGAGTAGCAGCATCACCAGTGATGAGTTGTTGCTTCTGCTTGATCTCAGAAACCACTTCACAGTCATCATCACACTCGGATGAAGAAGAGAAGCTCCTGGCTCCTTCTTCACTGTTGTTGCTGTTCTTGCTCCTCGCCAACTCCTTAATTGCTCTCTTGGACTTGTTGAAGAGCCACTCAAGGGTGTTGCTGGCTTTGTCGAACCCTAGCATGTCTTGAAGATCAAAGAACTTGCGAGCAATCTCAATGGACAACCTCACCCTCCGGTCCCTCAAACCCTGAGAGGTGTAAATCTTGCTGTGCCTGTCTTTCTTAGCTGGCTTCTTTGTGAGGAAACAAGAAAGGCCATAGTGAGTAGCACCACCACCACCACTTGGGTCAGGTTTGGTCATTGCAGAACCTCCACCACCACAGTTATGATCCGTGACTGGTAAATTGCTCAGTGCTTCTTGGATGCTTTGAGGGTTGTGATGCGTTGGTAAGTAAGGCACAGAAAGTGGATCATGAAGAAGGGTGTTGCTTGCAGAAGCATTATCAAGGTTGAGGAAAGGAAAAGGATGGAATGAAGAAGATGATGAAGGGAAGGAAGGGTAGAGGTTGGAACTGTAAGGGAACATTTGAAGATTTTTTTTCTCTTTTCAATTAATGAGTTTGAGAGAGGGGACAAAAACCCTAGCTCTTGAAGAAGTGTATGTCTATCTTCCTCCGAACAATGAACTGGTTTTAACCCTCAGCTCCCAACTTAATGGTCCAAAGTGATGCCCCAACACACCCTTTAATACAAAGGGTTGAGGGCAGGGATAGAGATAGAGACTAGGGATGGGTTATGCTAACACTATAACCCATCCAAGAAGAATAAAAAGAGTGTTTAAAGAAATGGTTAAGAAGAAGGGGTTTCAATTAGGCCAATGATGGAACTTGGATTTTCTTTGCGTGCATAGTGTCTATTTTTATGTGAATGGATTATCTGCTGGACCTGGTTCTTTGGCAGTGAGGAAGAGAGAGAAAGAGAGTGTTGTATATGTGCGAGTGTGAGTGAGAGAGAGAATGAGACAGTAATAGTGTAAGTAAACCGAGGACAAGACACACATAATTTGTGGGTTTTTTGCCTCATTATGTGGAAGCAACGTAAGCAGAGCAGGGTCAAATCATTCAACTTTTGAACCCGTTAATGTGTGTGTGTTTTTTCCTGTGACTGTCTCTGGCGTTGTTAGGGTTAGGGTTCTACTTAGCCCTCACAGAATTTGAAGGAATGAGGGGTTAAAAGTAGGTCTACGTAATCTCTGATGCGTTAATTTCAAATTATACATGTTTAATTTACTGGCAACCAAAATGGGGTGCCTGGTGAAAATTTTATCACATGTTGCTGTAGAAATTAACCAGTGAAAATTGGGGTTTTTGGCTTCAACTTTTTAACCCAAGGGTTCTAAAAGGTGGGTGGAAGTGAAACGGTGCAAACACTGTTTACTGTTTCTTTTGTACAAAAAAAGTTTTGATACTCTTCAACGAGGAAGGTAAGATAGTAAATAGTAATTAATTAATCAATCAATCACCAAGAAAATTAAGATATAACGTATACACAACATGCACTTTCCATTGTCAATATTAATGAAATGAAAAATCCAAACTTTTTCACACACTGTCACTAAATAAACTTTTTATGGTGTTAGTCAACCAGAAATCCTGATGGGTGTAAATTTCAAACAAATTGTGACAAAAATCAATCACCTTATCATGGTAAGTTATGAGTGAATGAAAATATGAATCTCATCTCAAGATAAGATATTATAAAACACTGATATTTTTTCTTGACTGTTGAAACAGTGAATAATCTTAATTTAAACAGTGGAGAAAAGGGTTTGATTCTGAATTTTAAAAAAAACTGAAGGAAAAGTACTAGCTACCGACTGAGCAAAAAAGACAAATTGGTAATTACAAAAATTAGGGTTCATTGGAGTGAACCGTACCTCCTACTGTCGTTTTCAGCCCGGAAAACTCATCCAATCTCTGACACCATTGCTATGGTTGCAGTTTTGAGAGTGGGGGTCGTCCCTGTCCTCTTATCAATTTGTATATTCAGTAACCTGTAGTTGGTGTTTACACAGAGTCATGGATGGCTTCTTGGTTCTCTTTCATAACCTAAGCTCTTTGGATTTGTTTTGTACCTCACAACCTGGGAAAAGAAACTATATTATATACATGCATGGTACGGTTCACGAATCTGCACTTGGATCTCAGTTCCAGTACTTTGGTTTAGGTCATTTCTTCTCTCATAAACCTCTTCTTAATTTTCATCACAATCTATGTTATTTGCTTAATGTCATGTTCATGAGTATTCACCTCTAATTAACCTTTCTAATTTTTCTTTTAAATTTTCTAATTTTTAGTTTCTCTTAAATTTCAAATTATTACTTTTTTTAACATATTTATAATATTATAATATTTCCATGTGACACTTCACAAATATTTTCAAAATCCGTATAATCTATGTTGTTTATCTATCTTAAAATAAATATTAGGAATTCAAATAATTATTTCAAATTTTGAAAGATGAGAATGAAGAAATATATATATATATATATATATATATATATATATATATATATATAGTTTTCTCAAACTAAAACAAAATTAACATATGTTATAAGGATTAAACATAAATATTTCAAATTTTACAAAAGGAAAGATTTTTTATAACAATATTAACTTTATGTAAAATATATATATAAACCTAATTTTTATATATGAATGTGATGAAGTGATTGGATTTCTCCATGGAAAGGACCACCATACCTAACTAGATAAATGAAGTGTGGGGGTTATCTCTTGTTATGGTCTTCCTATACCATCCAAAAAGGGCATGTAACTGTCTCTTCATCTCTTTCTTTAACCTCCCCTTTGTAGTAAAATCTAGTAATCACAATTCACAAAGCAAGAACTGAAAGATCAAGGAGGAAATTTACTAATTTTTTTTTTAAAACACATGTTTTATTATTAACTATAAAAATTTTATATGCAGAAATTATCTTAACTCTGCTCTTAAATTAGCATCTTTAAGATTTAATATTCAAGAAGGACATTTAAAAAATAAACTTAAAATAAAAGTGTTTTTAGGAGGATTTATTTTTTTCCTAAAGAAAATATGACATTATAAAAGAAAGAGAATGTCCCTCGAGAGAAATCTTAGAAAATATAACATGAAAAAGGTTTTTGAGAGATTATATAAAGTTACTTTTAGAATGTTATGTATCATTTGTGATAAGAATGAGAGTAAAGAACATCTCAATAGATACTTGTAAATAGATAACTTAAAAGTATATTTAGAGTAATGAATTTAAATTAATTATTGATTTATATTATTTTTAGAATCTTGTTATCCATATAATATTTAAATATTATAAAAATATTTAAGGTTATTTTTAAAAAATTAAGGAATATGATCTTCGTTAAAGTTGTAACCTTAATGTTAGTTAACTAATGATATACAGTGATTAAATGTCGTGCTAATAGGATTAGAATAAAAAATTGTTTTTCTTCTTTTAAGCATGATCAAACAAATAAGTTGTAAATGATTTTATTAAATTTAAACAAAATAAAATTAATTTCATATGATTAATAAAACTATAAAAGTATACTACAAAGTAAGCGAGATAGTACTTAAGATTTAAGATATATAGTTGTATTTTTTTATACGTAAATCTTACGAGTGTATATGTATAGAAGTATATTTGAGATATCTGATCATGAATTATGTACAAGTAAATACGATGACTTATGTTTTGTTTTGAAGAGCTTTAGAATTATAACATGATGAATTATTTTAACGTACTTGAGTTATTTATATGTTTAAAAAGTTTAATCAATAATTTAGCAGGGTGAAAATTCTATTTATATTTGGTCATTTGAGAAGTTTAACCCATGTAAAATTCAAGTTTTGTTTCATCGTTTGAAAAGTTTAAATTATGGCTTAAAAGTGTAAAAAATCTAAGTTATATGTGATCATTTGAGGTGGATTATGCATTTATGTGTTGTGTATTTATACTTCAATCATTTATAAATTTTTGGGGTTAGATGTTATCTATGAAGGAAAGTCTTTATGGTCTTCTATACTTATCTTAATGATTTTAAAGTAAGGGATCTCTCATACATCATAAGGGTCAATCATACACACTAACTATACTATTTTTTGTAGTTGACAGCCGATTAACCACTTCAAAATCTTATGTATTTTTTTACCATACATATAACGATAATTATATATTAAGTTTTTAAATAAGTTTATATATTGATAATGTGATATTTGTACAATTTAATTCTACTTGATTTCTTTTACCTATATATAACATATTTAACATATATTTCACTCATTTATTTTTGTTGTATGTAGTTTATTTAGATTCAACACTTAATAACGTAAGGAAGAATAACGGAAGAAATGAGAAGATTTAATGAATTTATCCAGAATCTAGAGACACGAGACTTACCAGTCATAAGAAGGAAGTTCACATAGTATAGAACAGATGGATCGTCAATGAGTAGGTTGGATATCTACGGAGTGGATCCGAGATTGGAAAGGGAGTAAGCAATACGTATTAGATAAGAGTATTTCAGATCATTGTGCGATAGTAGTTAAAGAAAATAGTATAGATTGGGGACTCAAACCTTTTAAATATCTGGATGTATGACACGAAGAAAAGAGGTTTAGGGATTAGGTAAAAGGGTTTTGGGAAGGAACGAAGTTCTTAGGGTGGGGAATGAAAAGCTGGTCCAAAAAGTTACAAATGCTCAAAAATCACCTGAAGAGATGGAATAGAGAATCGTTTGGGCATTTGAATTTAGAAAAACAAAACATGATCAATAAGATAACTGAAATGGACCATAAAGACAAACTACATCAGTTGGATGAAGAAGGAAAGAATGATGTGCCAAATAGAATTGAGAAAAACAATGTTGAAGATTGCATCTATGGAAATGCAAAAGATTAAAGATAAGTGGATAAAGGAAGGGGATATAAACTCAAAAATTTTCCACTCTATGAGTAGTTGAAGAAGAAACAAGGTAGAGCTACCAGGGATCATGATAAGAGAGGTTGTTAAGTGGTAAAAAGTTGATATAATTATGCCTTGAATTGTTATGAAACCACTTAACTTATGTTAATTCTAATATATTTTTCTCCCAATATAGGATGAATTTGAGAATACCTTGATACAAGAGTAAAGAGCATAATTGTCAGCACAATTTGAGTAAAATTGAAAGAAAGAAGAACGCTTACACTACAAGAAAAACACCAAATAGTGACCGAAATTAGTGACTGAAAAATTCAGTCATCGATAGTAACTCGAATCGAGTGACTCGATTTCCCTTTTTATATTTAGTGACTCGATTTAGTGACTAAAATTTCGATCACGAGATATCGATCATCGATTCGATCCATCGAATCGGTCACTGATTCGATCACTACTAGAAAAATGGTTAATAGTGACCGAAAGTGGTGACTCGAATTTTTTTTATATTTAGTAACTGATTTAGTGACTAAATTTTCAGATCACTAAAAAAAATAATTTTTAAATTGATAACTATTTTTCATTTATATCAATATTTTATTTAAAATATTTTA